TTTCTAAAAGTAGGTAGGACCTTTACTACAATGTAATTTTAAATGATGGGTCCTGATGCCTTTGCTTTACTTCTGATCTTAGGTAGAATATGTTGAATCTCTTACTAATATACATAGGATTGTGTTGGGTGCCCTGGATAAAGGTTGAATGATTCCCTTATATTTAAAAATTTTGAGTATTTTTATTTTGAAATAATTTTGACCTCATGTAAATATTAACGGAGATATACAATAGACCATCTAAGGGCCAGAGAATAAATTTACATAAAACTCTTTGAGAAATTAAGGCATTCAAAGTAATCACATCCATGGGGAAACAGAGACAGCCGGGTCTGTCTGCTTGAGATGCATGCTCAGGAAACCGTAAGCTTGCACAGAGGCTGATCTCTGTGTGAGTCTCCTGAAGACTTCAAGGACTGAGAGTGGGAGTTTAACGTAGAGGTTAAGATGCTTGCATCCCACATTGGGAGGCCTGGGTTGGATTCCCAGCTCTGGCTCCTGCCTCCAGCTTCCTGCTATTGCAGACACTGAGAGGCAGCAGTGATGGCTCAAGTCATTGGATTCATATCAGACACCTGGATTGCGTTCCAGCTCCAGGTTATGGCCCTGGCCCTGCACTGGCTATTGCAGGCATTTGGGAAGTGAACCAATGGATGAGATTCCTGTATCTCTGTCTTTTTCCATCTCTACTCCTTCAAATAAATAACAGTAATTTAAAAAATAAACAGGCCAGTGCCACGGCTCAATAGGCTAATCCTCTGCCTACGGTGCCAGCACACCAGGTTCTAGTCCCGGTTGGGGCACCAGATTCTGTCCCGGTTGCCCCTCTTCCAGTCCAGCTCTCTGCTGTGGCCCGGGAGTGCAGTGTAAGATGGCCCAAGTGCTTGGGCCCTGCACCCCCATGGGAAACCAGGATAAGCACCTGGCTCCTGGCTTTGGATCAGCACTGTGCGCTGGCCACAGTGCACCAGCTGCAGCGGCCATTGGGGGGTAAACCAACGGCAAAGGAAGACCTTTCTCTCTGTCTCTCTTTCTCTCACTGAGCACTCCACCTGTCAAAAAAAATAAATAAATAAACAAAAAGGCTTCAAGGAATACCCTACAACAGTCAATCTGCATTGACTAGCAGAGCTCCTGTCTTTCAAGGAAATCTCTATCATAACATTAGCCAACAACAAGTAAGAGGCATCAGTGATCACACAGGCCAAGGAAGAGTTTCTGCCAAATAGTTTGGAAACCTATCAAACAGTGAGTCCTGTCCACTGGCACCCTCTAGAAACTCTACTGATGATTCAGCCTCAGTGTCACAACCACCCATATTAATAACCTCATATTAAAAGGACTCCCAACCCATCAGCAAAACAACAAGTAAATATATTCTTTTTGTTTTATTTTATTTTCTGACAAATATGTGCTCATATTGAAGCAGAATATAGATAAAAATTTAAAAATACATTTTATATCATTCATAACTCACATGTAAGACTATTGGCCTTCAAAACTGTAATGTTGGGCCGGCGCCATGGCTCACCAGGCTAATCCTCCACCTGCAGTGCCAGCACCCCAGGTTCTAGTCCCGGTCGGTGCACTGGATTCTGTCCCGGTTGCTCCTCTTCCAGTTCAGCTCTCTGTTGTGGCCCGCGAGTGCAGTGGAGGATGGCCCAAGTGCTTGGGCCCTGCACCTGCTTGGGAGACCAGGAGGAAGCACCTGGCTCCTGGCTTCGGAACTGCACGCGCGCTGGCCGCAATGCACCGGCCATAGTGGCCACTTGGGGGGTGAACCAACGGAAAAAGGAAGACCTTTATGTCTGTCTCTCTCTCTCTCACTGTCTAACTCTGCCTGTCAAAAAAAACTGTAATGTCATGAGAAAAATAAGTGGATCCACCTTTTCAGATTTCAAAATACTGATTAAAGCATAACAAATGTAATGTGGTAATGGATGGAGAAAAGAAAAGTAACAGCTACAAAGACATTCAGCAGATCTAATGGCAATATGAAAACAGTCGATAGTTTATATACAGAATTATTGTTAATTTTCTTAGCCTTCAGCAACCAGGTGGTCAACCAAATGCTGCTACAGGGATATACTCGGCTCCCCACCTAGGAGATAGTGGCTTGAGACATGGCCCATGGCAACAAAGAGTACCTGAGTACCTTGTAGCACCATGTCAACAGGAAGTAGCTCTAAAGACAGAACAGTGTCCCTCTACCCCTCCTGGACTTTTGGGACTAATGTAATCCCACACAGCTCCTGCTTTATAAAAAACAAAAGAGGGGAATGTTAGTAAAATGGCTGTCTTATTTATGGTGCAATCTACACCCTGACACCATCCCAGGCTCTAGTCCCCTGCCATTGCTGGAAGCCTGGTGGCCACATGGCCCAACCACCAGCGTCAAGCTCCACCCCCATCCTAATGGGATTGGCTGTTCCTACTTCCCTACCCGCCCCCCAGCAAAGTTTTAAAAGGACCGGTTCCTGAACATGTCTCCATGTCTCTCTCTCTCTCTCTCTCTCTCCCTCTTCCTCTCCGTCTCCTAACCTCTGTCTCTGTCTCTGTCTCTCTCTTGTATGCTCTCCTTCTCCCTCTTCTCCTTCTTCACCCCTTCCCTCCAGTCTGTCAGGTTTCCTCCAATAAACTCTTTCCCTTAAAGAAAAATGAAATAAGTCCACCCAAGTAAGAGCTAACTTTAAAATAATTTAGATATATTTATATATTCAACAATATATGGTTTAAATAGAATTGGGGTATGGTCACATGTAATTTTGTAGAGTCTTTTGATATAGATGCTTATCGACATATATCACATTTTCTTTTCAAAGGAATAGTCTTTTCAGATAATTTTGGGAAACATGATATAAAAGAAATAGACAATGATCTTCTCAAGTTATCTTCATTAAACATCGTTATGGTAACAACATTACTATGTTAGTCAATAACTACTCCAGAATCATAATTGGTTACCTTAATAAAGGTTGATTCTCACTGATGTCAGAGTTGAGTGTTTCAAGTGGCCTTTCCAGGCAGCAGCTCAGGGAACAAACTCCTTCCGTTCTTTGACTTTTAAATCTCCAAATTCATTTCCAGTCATGTCAGAGAGAAGAGATAGGACCAAAAGAGAACTTATATGGACAGACTTAAAGTGGCATAAAGATGGTTCTCTCCACAGGCCATATTGAAATGTCATTAAATAAACCCAATTGAATCAAAAAAAACTCAGAAATACAGTCTTCCTTTACATCCAGATTATAAGAAAAGCAGTAATGAACATCTGGCCGGATTGTGCAGTAATAATCAATGAAACAATAGTCTTTACATTTTGTACAACACAAACTTCTTCTGGACATGAAATGTGGACAATCCAATTATCATTCTCCTCATTTTATGAGACTATATTATACCTTAATCATAGTCCTTCTTTATATCGATGCTATTCTAGTCTGAACCAAAATGTAAATATAGAAATTAGAGATATGTGTATGACACTCAAGATGTAAAAGACTTAACAGTAACATAATGTGGGTGTGCCCTGACAGCAGCAAAGATTACAGACCATTTGTCTAACCTCAGCGTCTGTCTATTGGAAGATATAATTGGACATGCCAAATCAGTACATGTCATTTTGTCCATGTTGTCTATGGAAGTGTCATTCCCTTTCCCAGGAACACTTGAAGTAAGAGAATTCAACTTCCTTTTTAAAAATCTTCTGCCTTTCTGTTTTTTGTAAGATTTTTTAAATTTATTTGGCAGGTAGAGTTACAGACAGTGAGAGGGAAAGACAGAGAGAAAGGTCTTCCTTCCATTGGTTCACTCCCCAGATGGCCACAATGGCCGGAGCTGTGCCGATCTGAAGCCAAGAGCCAGGTGCTTCTTCTGGGTCTTCCATGTGGGTCAGGGGCCCAAGCACTTAGGCCATCTTCCACTGCTTTCCCAGAGCATAGTAGAGAGCTGGATTGGAAGAGGAGCAGCCGGGACTAGAACTGGCGCCCATATGGGATGCCGGCGCCACAGGTAGAGGATTAACCTACTGTGCCACAGAGTCGGCCCCTCCCTTTCTGTTTCTTCATGCCTTTCTTACCTAGTTCTTTCCTCTTCAAACTGTCTATAAATTCCTCTATCTGAGTTGTGGCTCCCTGGTATCCTGTTCTAGAGGAAGCACCTTCTGCAAGATCTGCTACCCCAGACTCAGCAGACAGGGGCTCCTATAAATCCCACCGGCAGCAGCTGTGATGCACTGTTCCAGGCATATTCCTTTCACAGTGGTTTAGCCATGACCTGTTTGGTCCTAAAATCCCAAGTACAGATTTAGATCTCTCAATAGGTAGCCAGGGCTTCCACAACAAAATACCCTCACTGAGCAAGTTCAAACAACTTCTCATGGTTAGGGAGGCTGGGAAGTCCAATGTCAAGGTCCTGACCAGTTTGGTTTCTATTGAAGCATCTCTTTTTGGCTTGTAGCCAGCCAACTTCCTACATCATCACATGGAAGAGAGAAAGGGAGAGCAAGCAAGTTCTTCAACATCTCTACCTATAATGGCACCAATCCCATGCGAAGGCCCCACCCCCATGTCCCCATCTGAACCTAATTATTTCCTAAAGGCTCCATCTGTACACATCATCTCATTGAGAGTCAGTGTTCAATGAATCATGTTGGTGAACACAATTCATTCCATATCAGAATCCTGGGGTTCTAGACACTGTACAAACTCTACTATGCCAAATGATTTTGTTAATACAAAGACATCTATGATGAGTTCAATTTTCCAACATTGCAGCCCATCTTATAGTTTCACAAACTATAAGAGTGTTTGTATATTTGCTGTCTATTGACAAATGGGAAGGTTTCTTCTGAGACCTGCCATTGATGATCTGTTGACACTAAGATTTTAAGTGCAAGGTTTGACATGTTAAAACATCATCTAAATGTCAAAGTTTGCTTTCCTCTGGATAGTTTTTACAAGTAGCCGTGGTTTGCAGTTCTAACTGTTCTCCTTTCTCAGGTTTGGGAGGAAGTTTATGCTGAGGTTCTGTGTCCTCCTGCTGGCGATCGCTAGTACCTGCACAGCCTTTTCTCCCAGCTTCCTCATTTACTGCTCACTTCGCTTCTTTGTTGGGTTATCTACCTCAGCCATCTTATCGAATAATATAATTCTCAGTAAGTCAACCTTGGATATTTGGAGCTTGGATATTTTCCAAACTTTGAAAGTCCTCCTTTGTTTTAAGGTAAAACCTCCTTGTGTGTGTTTTCTTTCAGTTTTAGAATGGACATTGCCCAAGTTCCAAGCACTGGGAACTACACTGATAATCAGTGCTGGTTGTATTGGACAGATAGCACTGGGAAGCCTGGCTTTTGCCATTCGAGACTGGCACGTCCTCCAGCTGGTGTTTTCTGTGCCATTTTTTGTTTTCTTTCTGTGCTCAAGGTATAAGCTTATTTTCTTCTTATGTTAGAGGACCTGAAAAGGCAAGATACAGGGAGTAAATGTGGAATTTATGGCCATGTGAATTGTTAGGTCCTTGGTCAACACTTGAGCACATGCTCTACTAATCTATGCCCTGTGTGAAATTTGAGAAGCATAACAAACAAGATTGCCAGATAATATCAAGGACACAAAATAAATTTTTCAGATAAATGAAAAATTTATTTCATATGATATGCCATTTATTACCTGATCCATGGTTTCATTGTTATTTATCATGTATGAAATTTTCTATGTATCTGAGAGGCTGCGATTTCATTTGCTAAGTGATAAAATACAAGATGTCTCCCTAAATGCAAATTTTAAATAAATAATGTTTAGTGTAAATATGTCAAGCACATTGCATGATACATAGCTTACTAAAGAATTATTTACTATTTACTTGAGTTAATATTTACCTGGGAAAAGTGTATTTTTATTTGCTAAAACCAGAAAAACTCCTTGAATAAGAGAGAAGCAATTACTCTTATTTATGACATCCTGTTCTGTTATCTGCCGTGAAGGTATAATACATGGTGAAGTCATCCTCATATTTTCCTAGTAATACAGCAAGAGATAGTAAAATTGTATTTCCTGATATAACCTAACAAGTGATGGGCATTATGTAGCAGAGGGAAAGTGTCTGAGGACATAGATCAGGTGAAAAATAAGCAAACAGGAATCGGCTGCACAGCTTTCCTCTTCTTTGGTCAGGTGGCTGGCAGAGTCTGCCCGGTGGCTGATCATCACCAACAAAGCAGAGAAGGGCCTGAAGGAGCTCAGGAAAGCTGCACACAGGAATGGGATGAAGAATGTGGAAGACACCTTAACTATAGAGGTGAGCAAGGAAGGGAGGTGGTTGTGAAATGTAGGAAAAGCATAACCTGCCATATGCCCCAGTCGGTGTCCACCAGGTGATAAAGGATGGGGAAGGATGGGGACACAGGCCTGGTTTCGGGTCTCTTTCACTTCATTTTCCTCATTCCCAGTGGATGTTGACACTCACTGCTTCAATGTTTGCATAGATAGAGAGAGAGAATATACTGTTGCCAAAGTGACTGGACATGGGTATTTTACTCACAGAGGTAGAGGGCATGTGATATTAATAATGATAAAGATTGTATACTGGTCCCATTCTGTTACAAACAGGAACAAAAATAAATCCATTGCTTCCTGTTGAATATTCTTTGGTCCTTTTGTTCAGGGTGGGCAAAGAACGAGAGGTTTGTGACCCTGCAGAATGGGGCGTAAGGAAGATTACATATTTGCTCATTCTGCCACATGACCTTTCATTCAAGGTACGTTTACCGAGTGCCTGCCTGTGCCAAGTTCTGCTCTACACATACTACAGCAGTGACCAGGAAAGTCCAAACCCCTGTTTTGTGGAATTTACATTTTACTCGTTACAAGTCACAAGGTCATGACTGGGTAGAAATTCTCCACAGGTCTGTCTCTTTTTTCATACCCCAGCTTTATAAAGCAGATACAACTGTGGATAATAAAGTAAATGAGGGCCGGTGCCGTGGCTCACTAGGCTAATCCTCCGCCTCGCGGTGCCGGCACACCAGGTTCTAGTCCCGGTCGCGGCGCCGGATTCTGTCCCGGTTGCCCCTCTTCCAGTCCAGCTCTCTGCTGTGGCCTGGGAGTGCAGTGGAGGATGGCCCAAGTACTTGGGCCCTGCACCCCATGGGAGACCAGGAGAAGCACCTGGCTCCCAGCTTCGGATTAGCGCGGTGCGCCAGCCACAGCGCGCCGGCCGTGGCGGCCATTGGAGGGTGAACCAACAGCAAAGGAAGACCTTTCTCTCTGTCTCTCTCTCTCACTGTCCACTCTGCCTGTCAAAAAAAAAAAAAGTAAATTAGTTAGAAAAAAAGCAAACCATTAGATAGTGACATAAATAATTTATTATATCATATATTAAATGTTGAAAAATTATAACATGCTAGGCATGCCACTTAATAATGAATAGCAGTAATATGTCAGGATCCCAGGTTTCAAGGAGGTTTCATATTAATAAGAGAAAAAAATAGTAGAGTTTAAAATGTTTTATTATGGTCAAAATCAGTTAAAATGAAATCTGCCCTCTTAGTAAATTTTAAAATATAGCATCCTGTGTTTTTAACCATAAACACCACCTAGAATAATAGATTGCTGAAAAATGTTTTTGTGCTACATCACTGAAACTCTATCCCTACTGAACTGAAGTTGTCCCTTTCCTTGAGAGCCTATTCCCTGTTTTGGATGCCTGATGTCCATAGAATTATGCAGGATGTGTCCTTCAGTCACTGGTTTATGTCACTTAACGTGGAGTCCTCAAGATCCATCCATATTGTCATATATGGCAGGATTTGCTTCTTTTTATGACTGAATAATATATATTGCATGCATATGCCACATTTTCTTTTTTCTTTTGTGTCAAAGGGCATTATATTCTTTGTACCTCTTGATTAGTGTGAATAGTGCTACAGTGAATAGGATGTGCAAATGCCTCCTTGAAATCCTACTTTGTTATGTTGGAAATATAACGGGAAGTGGGACCATGGGACCATATGGTAGTATTTATTATTATTATTATTATTATTTCATTTTTTGTAATGGGATCAAGGAATGAGAGGAACAATAACAGGGATAGAAAATAGTAATAAAGGAGGAATAAAAAAAATCAGGGAAAAGTCCTTTGGCCAGCTAATGTGAGGTCTGAAAGTCGCAGAAGAAAACAGGCCCTTTAACAGAAGATTTCAAACAGGAAGAAACAAAGTGCTCCTAAGAGTTTAAGCCCAATGAGAACGGAAGAACTAAAGGTTTCCCCAGAGATGGAGCCAGCAACAGTAGCACTGAGGGCCCTTGTTGCTGGGAACTGTTATCATGAGGTTGGGTTTCTTTTTTTTTTTTTTTAACTTTTATTTAGTAAATATAAATTTCCAAAGTACAGCTTTTGGATTACAATGGCTTCCCCCCCCCCAATAATTTCCCTCCCACTCGCACCCCTCCCATCTCCCGCTCCCTCTCCCATTCCATTCACATCAAGATTCATTTTCAATTATCTTTATATACAGAAGATCGATTTGGTATATATTAAGTAAAGATTTCATCAGTTTGCACCCACACAGAAATGAAAAGTGTAAAAATACTGTTTGAGTACTAGTTATAGCATTACTTCACATTGGACAACACATTAAGGACAGATCCCACATGAGAAGTAAGTACACAGTGACTCCTGTTGTTGACTTAACAATCTGACACTCTTGTATATGGTGTCAGTAATCTCCCTAGGCTCTAGTCATGAGTTGCCGAGGCTAGGGAAGCCTTTTGAGTTCACCGACTTCGATCTTATTCTGACAGGGTCGTAGTTAAAGTGGAAGTTCTCTCCTCCCTTCAGAGAAAGGTACCTCCTTCTTTGATGGCCCCGTTCTTTCCACTGGGATCTCACTCGCAGATATCTTTCATTTAGGTCTCTTTTTTTGCCAGAGTGTCTTGGCTTTTCATGTCTGAAATACTCTCATGGGCTCTTCAGCCATATACAAATGCCTTAAGGGCTGATTCTGAGGTCAGAGTGCTATTTAGGACATCTGCCATTCTATGAGTCTGCTGTGTATCCTGCTTCCCATGTGGGATCATTCTCTCCCTTTTTGATTCTATCAGTTAGTATTAGCAGACACTAGTCTTGTTTGTGTGATCCCTTTGACTCTTAGACCTATCAGTATGATCAATGTGAACTGAAATTGATCACTTGGACTAGTGAGATGTCATTGGTATATGCCACCTTGATGGGATTGTATTGGAATCCCATGGCAATTTCTAACTCCACCATTTGGGGCAAGCCCGATTGAACATGTCCCAAATTGTACATCGCCTCCCTCTCTTATTCCCACTCTTATGTTTAACAGGGATCACTTTTCTGTTAAAATTTAAACACCTAAGAATAATTGTGTGTTAATTACAGAGTTCAATCAATAGTACTAGAACAAAAAAAATACTAAAAGGAATAAAGTATTACATTGTACATCAACAGTCAGGACAAGAGCTGATAAAGTCACTGTTTCTCATAGTGTCCATTTCACTTCAACAAGTTTCCCCTTTGGTGCTCAATTAGTTGTCGCTGATCAGGGAGAACATATGATATTTGTCCCTTTGGGATTGGCTTAATTCACTCAGCATGAGGTTTCCCAGATTCCTCCATCTTGTTGCAAATGACCGGATTTCATTGTTTTTGACTGCTGTATAGTATTCTATAGAGTACATGTCCTATAATTTCTTTATCCAGTCTACTATTGATGGGCATTTGGGTTGGTTCCAGGTCTTAGCTATTGTGAATTGAGCTGCAACAAACATTAAGGTACAGACAGCTTTTTTGTTTGCCAATTTCATTTCCTTTGGGTAAATTCCAAGGAGTGGGATGGCTGGGTTGTATGGTAGTGTTATAGTCAGGTTTCTGAGGAATCTCCACACTGACTTCCATAGTGGCTTTTCCAGTTTGCATTCCCACCAACAGTGGGTTAGTGTCCCTTTTTCCCCACATCCTCGCCAGCATCTATTGTTGGTATATTTCTGAATGTGAGCCATTCTAACCGGGGTGAGGTGAAACCTCATTGTGGTTTTGATTTGCATTTCCCTGATTGCTTGTGATCCTGAACATTTTTTCATGTGTGTTTGCCATTTGGGTTTCCTCTTTTGAAAAATGTCTGTTGAGGTCCTTGGCCCATTACTTAAGTGGGTTGTTTGTTTTGTTGTTGTGGAGTTTCTTGATCTCTTTGTAGATTCTGGTTATCAACCCTTTATCTGTTGCATAGTTTGCAAATATTTTTTCCCATTCTGTCAGTTGCCTCTTCACTTTCCTGACTGTTTCCTTTTTAGTACAGAAACTTCTCAATTTAATGTAACCCCAAATGTTAATTTTGGCTTTGACTGCCTCTGCTTCTGCAGTGTTTTCCAAGAAGTAATTGCCGATACCTATATCTTGCAGGGTTTCTCCAATGTTCTCTAATAATTTGATCATGTCGGGTCATAGATTTAGATCTTTAATCCATGTTGAGTGGATTTTTGTGTAAGGTGAAAGGTAGGGGTCTTGCTTCATGATTCTGCACATGGAAATCCAGTTTTCCCAGCACCATTTATTGAATACAGTGTCCTTGCTCCAGGAATTGGTTTTGGATCCTTGATCAAATATAAGTTGGCTATAGATGTTTGGATTGATTTCTGGTGTTTCAATTCTGTTCCATTGGTCTATCCATCTGTTTCTGTACCAGTACCATGCTGTTTTGATTACAACTGCCATGTAGTATGTCCTGAAATCTGGTATTGTGATGCCTCCGGCTTTGTTTTTGTTGTACAGAATTGCTTTAGCTATTTGAGGTCTCCTGTGTCTCCATATGAATTTCAGCATCATTTTTTCCAGATCTGAGAAGAATGTCTTTGGTATTTTGATTGGTATTGCATTGAATATATAAATTGCTTTTGGGAGAATGGACATTTTGATGATATTGATTCTTCCAATCCATGAGCATGGAAGATTTTTCCATTTTTTGGTATCTTCTTCTATTTCTTTCTTTAAGGTTTTGTAATTTTTATCGTAGAGATCTTTAATGTCCTTGGTTAAGTTTATTCCAAGGTACTTGATTGTTTTTGTAGCTAGTGTGAATGAGGCTGATCTTAGAAGTTCTTCCTCAGCCATGGCATTGCCTGTGTATACAAAGGCTGTTGATTTTTATACATTGATATTATATCCTGCTACTTTGCCAAATTCTTCTATGAGTTCCAATAGTCTCTTAGTAGAGTTCTTTGGGTCCCCTAAATAAAGAATCATATCATCTGCAAAGAGGGATAGTTTGAGTTCTTCCTTCCCAATTTGTATCCCTTTAATTTCTTTTTCTTGCCTAATAGCTCTGGCTAAAACTTCCAGAACTATATTGAATAGCAGTGGTGAGAGTGGGCATCTCTGTCTGGTACCAGATCTCAGTGGAAATGCTTCCAACTTTTTCCCATTCAATAGGATGTTGGCTGTGGGTTTTTCATAGATTGCTTTGATTGTATTGAGGAATGTTCCTTCCATACCCAGTTTTCTTAGAGTTTTCATCATGAAAGGGTGTTGTATTTTATCAAATGCTTTGTCTGCATCTATTGAGATAATCATATGGTATTTCTTCTGCAGTCTGTTAATGTGGTGTATCACATTGGTTGATTTGTGAACACTGAACCATCCCTGCATATGAGGGGTAAATCCCACTTGGTTTGGGTGGATGATCTTTCTGATGTGTTGTTGCATTCTATTGGCGAGAATTTTATTGAGGATTTTTGCATCTATGTTCATCAGGGATATTGGTCTGTAATTCTCTTTCAATGCTGCATCTTTTTACAGCTTAGGAATTAAGGTGATGCTGACTTCATAGAAAGAATTTGGGAGGATTCTGTCTATTTCGATTGTTCTGAATAGTTTGAGAAGAATTGGAGTTAGTTCTTCTTTAAGTGTCTGGTAGAATTCAGCAGTGAATCCATGTGGTCCTAGGCTTTTCTTTGTTGTTGTTCTACTGTTTCAATTTCTGTCTCACTTATGGGTCTGTTTATGTTTTCTATGTCCTCATGGTTCAATTTACGTGGTTGCATGTGTCCAGGAATCTGTCCATTTCTGATAGGTTTCCCTGTTTGCTGGTATACAGGTCCTTGTTATAATTTCTGATGATTCTTTTTATTTCTGTGGTGTCTGTTGTTATGTTTCCTTTTTCATCTCTGATTTTATTGATTTGGGTCTCTTCTTTTTTTAGTTAGTTGGGCCAGTAGGATGTCAATTTTGTTTATTTTTCAAAAAACCAGCTCCTCGTTTGGCTGATTTTTTATAATTTTTTTTTATTATTCAATCCTGTTGAGTTCTTCTCTGATTTTTATTATTTCTCTTCTCCTACTAGATTTGGGTCTGGTTTGCTACAGGTTTTCTAGATGCTTGAGATGAATTGATCTCATTTATTTGGTGCCTTTCCAATTTCTTGATGTAGGCACCTATTGATATAAACTTTCCTCTTAACACTGCTTTTGCTGTATCCCATATGTTTGGTATGTTGTTTTGTTATCCTCATTTACTTCCAGAAAGTTTTTGATTTCTCTTTTGATTTCTTCTGTGACCCAGTGTTCATTCAGGAGCATGTTGTTCAATCTCCATGTGTTTGCGTATGCTCTAGGGATTCTTGAGTTGCTAATTTCCAACTTCATTCCTTTATGGTCTGAGAACCTGCATGGTATGATTCTAATTCTTTTGAGTTTGTTGAGACTTGCTTTATGGCCTAGTATGTGGTCAATCCTAGAGAAGGTTCCATGTACTGCTGAGAAGAATGTAAATGCTTTATATGTAGGATGAAAAGTTCTATAGATATCTATTAGATCCATTTGGGCTGTAGTGTCGTTTAAATCTGCTGTTTCCTTGTTGATCTTCTGTCCTGTTGATCTGTCTATTTCTGAGACTGGAGTATTGAAGTCCCCCAGTACTATTGTTTTGGGATCTAAGTCTGCCTTTAAGTCCCTTAACAAATCTTTTAAATAAACCGGTGCCGTGTAATTAGGTGCATATAGATTGATAATCATTATATCTTCCTGTTGAATGGATCCCTTAATCATTATATAGTGCCCCTCTTTGTCTCTCTTAACACTTTTTGTGTTAAAGTTTATGTTGCCCAATATTAAGATGGCTACACCCACTCTTTTTTCATTTCTGTTGGCATGGTATATCTTTTTCCAGCCTTTCACTTTCAGTCTGTATGCATCTTTGTTGGAAAGATGTTTTTCTTGTAAGCTGTGAATCACTAGTTCCGGAAGAGTTTCCTCTGCTATTTCTTCCCCTACTCTTCCCTGAACCTGCAGTATCTCCACTTTTATTAAACTGTTTCTCCCCGGACTATCAGTGTGCTCCCTTCCTATTCTGCCATCTTGCCGCACTCCTCTGGGCTTCTTTATTAAAAAATTTTTTTATTTATTTGAAAATCAGAATTCTAGAGAGAGGGGGAGAGACAGAGATCTTTCATCCACTGACTCACTCTCCAAGTGGCCCCTCCAGGAGCTTCATCCAGATCTCCCACATGGGTGGCAGGAGCCCAAACATTTGCCCCATCTTCTGATGGTTTTCCCAGACCATTGGTAAGAAGCTGGATCAGAAGAGGAGCAGCCAGGACTTGAACCAGCACCCAAATGGGATGCTAATGTCTCACATATGCTTTACCCATTGTGCCACAATACCAGCACAGGGAATGCTAGTTTTTTTGTTGTTGTTGTTTTGATTTGGTGGTGCTAATGGGATGGTTGGAGAGAAAAGCATTCTTGAAATTGAAGTAGAGCTTTTCACCAAGATGGCGCCAAAGGTGAAGAAGGAAGCTCCTGCCCCTCCTAAAGTTGAAGCCAAAGCAAAGGCCCTAAAGGCCAAGAAGGCAGTGCTGAAAGGCATCCACAACCACAAGAAGAAGAAGATCCGCACGTCCCCCACCTTCCGGCGGCCCAAGACACTACGCCTCCGATGGCAGCCCAAATACCCTCGGAAGAGCACCCCCAGGAGAAACAAGCTTGACCAGTATGCCATCATCAAGTTCCCCCTGACCACGGAGTCGGCCATGAAGAAGATAGAAGACAACAACACACTGGTGTTCATTGTGGATGTCAAGACCAACAAGCACCAGATAAAACAAGCTGTGAAGAAACTCTATGACATTGACATGGCCAAAGTCAACACCCTGATCAGACCCGACGGAGAGAAGAAGGCGTGTGTGCGGCTGGCTCCTGACTGTGATGCTCTGGACGTTGCCAACAAAATTGGGATCATCTGAACGGAGTGCAGCTGGCTAATTCTAAATATATGTTTTTTCACCATAAAAAAAAAAAGAAATTGAAGTAGAGCAGCCAGCATCACGGCTCAATAGGCTAATCCTCTGCCCGTGGCGCCAGCATACCGGGTTCTAGTCTCGTTAAGGGCGCCAGATTCTATCCCGGTCGCTCCTCTTCCTGTCCAGCTCTCTGCTGTGGCCCGGGAAGGAGGATGGCCCAAGTGCTTGGGCCCTGCACCTGCATGGGAGACCAGGAGAAGCACTTGGCTCCTGGCTTTGGATCCGCGCGGTGCACACCGGCCACAGAGGCCATTGGGGGGTGAACCAAAGGAAAAGGAAGACCTTTCTCTCTGTTTCCCTCTCTCACTGTCCACTCTGCCTGTCAAAAAAAAAAGGAAATTGAAGCAGAGCTCTACATAACTCCTGGAGTGCATCAATCTTTGCCCAAATTACATGAATTTTTTGAAACAAATAACTTCTTAGGAGCTCAATTTAATTCCCAGTGCAACTTAGTATCTTGCCTTCTAGTTTGATCCAATGATTGAAAGCTAAAATAATGCAGGGGCATGGCATCTAACAAAATTATGTGCCACACACTGAAATTTAAAAGAACAATGCATTATCAAAAGGAATGGCAATTGACAGTCCCCTAAGTGCCCGGTGGGGAGAAAGAAAACATTGATGATGATTTGTTTTAGGGACTGGATTCTTTTCAAAAATGATATCCAGTGACACTAAATTTGATTTTTTTTTTGACAGGCAGAGTTAGTGAGAGAGAGAGAGAGAGAGAGAGAGAAAGGTCTTCCTTCCATTGGTTCACCCCCCAAATGGCTGCTACGGCCAGTGCACTGCGCCGATCCGAAGCCAGGAGCCAGGCGCTTCCTCCTGGTCTCCCATGCAGGTGCAGGGCCCAAGCACTTGGGCCATCCTCCACTGCCTTCCTGGGCCACAGCAGAGAGCTGGACTGGAAGAGGAGCAACTAGGACAGAACCGGCACCCCAACCGGGACTAGAACCCAGAGTGCCAGCACTGCAGGCGGAGGATTAGCCTAGTGAGCCACGGCGCCGGCCTAAATTTGATTTTTTTTAAACTGTGCAAAGATCATTTCAAACTTGTATTTTAGTCCTGCCCTATTCTAACTTAAAGTATCTGCTTCGCATCGTAGCAATACATTCGTTCCTCCATCCTAGGAAGACCAGGTAATATCACCCATCTTCTCTACCCAAATCCCTCATAACAGGGATGACTGAAGAGCTCAGAGACAGGGAGAGCAAAGCTGTTATACTTGTGTTACTGTGAAAGCTAACACCGTGGGCGCCACATTCAATTCTTAGTGTCAGTGGATTTGCCAACACTTCACCCCACAATTGAACTTACTCATCCATCACAGGTTTTCCCCCAGGTGCAAAGCCTGCCCTGCTGAATACAGGATGTGGCCCAGAAAGCAGACATGAGTGATGTTAGCTTACTGTGAGGAAGGCCTTCTGTGCATTACAGCATGCCCGTCACGTTATCCCACACTCAGCAATCAAATGCCTACATTTTCCAAAAAGAGGGATCTGAGTGTTAATCGTTCCAAGTCCTTCTTCCTGGAAATAACAGCATCAGAGGAAAGTGTCCTCCCCCTGCCAACCTCAAGTATTTTTCGGGCAACTTCTCTTAAATGCTCTTTCTAGGTCAATTCTGTCTGGATGGGCTCTGGAAGATACCTGTTCCAGCCTTAGTGCATGTCTTTAATCTCATTCTGAATCCTCCAGTTTACCAGGTCTTTGTGTTCAATTCAGTCTCCTTGTTGATGCAGTTATGGTCTTAGGGAGCACCCATCTCCTGTAAGCTCTGTAGCTTCCAAACTCTTCCCTGCTCCTTCCCTCCCTCTGGTCTGCCCAATTTCTTCCACTCCTCTGTTATGATTGTCCAGCCTGTTTCTTCAGCTTCCCCCCTATTCTTCCTAAGTAGTTCAACCCTAGTAGTCAAAGGACTCCTGCTCCACAGGGGACCAGTCTAGATTACATCCTCCATGCAGTTCCTGGGACTCACCCTAGTCCCAGAGTACTTTACTGAAGGCTCAATCTGTAGGACACCAAGGAAGGCACGCTTGTGTGATTATGAGTGATGAGGTAACCTTGCAATATCAGCAGAAATTCTCTACTGAATCCTCTGCTGGTTTCCATTACACCCACCAAATTTCAGAGTTTTCCCAACTATGATACATTAAAAATTTTTCTGAATAGGATATATCATTATAATTTTAAAATATAAATGTCTACTTCCCCTATCTCTGATCTCACTCACAAAGATGTTCCCCAAGGTCCCTGGATCAATGTGGTTTTTCCTGTGTTGGTTCTGGAATCTTAGATCTTTGAGCTTCTAAGTGCATTCCACCCTCCATCAGCTCTTCCCAGCCATTTCTCCTTTTATAGTTTCCCTTTCCTTCTGCTTTCTCAGACTTTCTCCAGACTTGTTTCATATTTATTTTGTGACAGGCACTGTGACAGGAAGAGCTCCCCCAAAAAGAAGTCAAAACCTGTGTCTTCAGCAAGGTGCAGTGTGAAGGCTGATGGGAGAGACCTAACCTGGGTTAGTGTGGGAATGGAGGCACTGAATGCCTCTGAAATGGGTTTTTGGAGTTAAGGTAGAACCTGGTAGAAGCCAGGTGTAAATAGGGCAGGTGTGTGATTAAATCTGCAGTTGAGAGAAGTCCAAATGACTGCAGGAGGCAAGACAGGGATGGTATGATAGATGTTTAACACATCACATTCTAGAAGGACGAATAAGCCAAAAATCCCACACTTGTGATTATTAATCTCCATGATGTGAATTATTCCACCATGATTGATTACAAGCTACTAATATGACAGCAGCCATATATCCCCATCTGGCCCAGGTTTAAGCCCTTCTTGGAGCCTATTCTTATAACAGTATCTATAACAATGGCCTGAAGTCTGGATTTTTGTGTTAGATGGCAGGGCGGGGGCGGGGGTCACCACCATGATTGCTCTCTAAAAAGCGTAAACCTAATATTTTGCTGCTATGGTTGGGATTGCAAAGTAGGACATTCTCAAAAGTGTAAGTTTCTTTGGTCATGGTGATGGTATTGTTTCACCAGTGATAATGAAGTTATATTAGTTAAATAGTTCATAAGTTAATAAGTACCCAAGGTGTGCTAGGTGTAATTTGATATGAATACCTTTCTGACATTTTGTGTGGACTAGGAAATCCTTCTAAGAAAGGTGTTATTTTTTCACTGCCTTCTTTTCCAACTCTTGATTCTTCTACTTCTCATTCTTCTTTTTAAAAACAAGATAATGGGGCCGGCGCTGTGGCGCAGTGGGTTAAAACCCTGGCCTGCGGTGCCAGCATCCCATATGGGCACCGGTTCAAGACCCAGCTGCTCCACTTACAATCCAACTCTCTGTTATGGCCTGGGAATACAGTAGAAGATGGCCCAAGTCCTTGGGCCCTGCACCTGTGTGGGAGGCCCCAAAGAAGCTCCTGGCTCCTGGCTTCAGATTGGCGCAGCTCTGGCCGTTGCAGCCATTTGGGGAGTGAACCAGCAGATGGAAGATCTCTCTCTCTCTCTGCCTCTCCTCTCTCTGTGTAACTCTGACTTTCAAATAAATAAAATAAATCTTTAAAAAAGGAAAAAAAAAGATAATTAGGACCAACACTGTGGTACAGGAGGTTAAGCAGCTGCCTATGACATTGGCATCCTATTCGAGTGTTGGTTTGAGTCCTGCTTATTCCATTCCTGGTCCAGCTCCCTCCTAATGTGTCTTGGAAGGCAGAAGAAGATGGTCTAAGTATATGGGTCCCTGCCACCCACGTGGAAGACCTAGAAGAAGCTTCTGGCTCCTGGCTTTGGCCTGGCCCAGGCCTGGCAATTGTGGCCATTTGGGGAGTGGATGGAAGATTGTCTATCTATATCTATATCTCTCTCTTCCCCCTTCTCTCTCTCTCTCCCTCTCTGTCTCTCTGTTTCTGCCTCTTTCTTTGCAAATCGGGCCTTTCAAATAAATAAATAAATAAATCTTTTTAAAAATAAAACCCAGATAATTGAAGCTTACAGGTATTTACCTTCCTTAAGATACATTACTAGCAAATTCAGAGCCAAAATGTGACCCTAGGTCATAGCCAAGTCTAGATATGGATGACACTACTCCAGCATCCCCCCTGATTTCTTCCCTAGACTTTATTGTAGGTTTCTCATTCATGGAAATAGAATATGCTAGAATTTCCCTGAAGGAGGCTGATGGAAGAATCAAAATAAGGGCTCTCAAGCTAAGTTCCTTTTCTTGGAAACAGTTTTTCCACAACAGGCAGCCAACTTAGAACTAAGCTCAGGGGCTAGGTCTCTGTGCCCATCTGTCATAAATGGACCTTCGGACCCTACTCCAAGTGACTCCACATTTGTTTCCCATTTTCCATCTGAATCTCCAACCCTGCAGCCCTCTTGAGTCTTAGGTTGTCACTGCACAATTGCCCTGAGGTTCCTTTAACTTTCTACCATGTTTACTCCTGTCAATACATCTTTAGTGCCTATATTTCCTACCAGAAAGCAAGAAGGTGGATCTCATTCTCCCATGGGTTCCCAGCACTCCCACACTGACCTGCACTTTGTAACAACTGAGCAATTTATTTTTGCTGTTGTCATTGTTGAAGGTTGTGAGATCCACCATGAAGGAGGAGCTGCTGGACGCACAGAGAAAGCCTTCCCTGTGCGACTCGTTCCACACACCCGTCCTGCGGAAACGGATCCTGCTCTTGTCCCTTGTGAGGTAGGCTTCACATAGTGCATAAGGACATAAAATGGTAGAGAACTGAGCCTGTAACTTCAAGGGGTACAACGTGTTGTGGGAACAAATTTGGGGAGAAAAGATGGGAAAGTTATGAAGATCATTCATGTTTGGAAGTGATCAAAGGGTTATAAATACTGACATGGAACTAAATATGTGATGAGGAGCTTTGATTTTGCACATCACCCTACCAGGATCGTCATAGGAGACTGACCGCAATAACTTTAATTATAGAACAGATTTTAATTTTAGGATTTTTCATTGGTTTGCTTCCACCTTAACTGGGATAAAATTATAGTGAAGGACATTAATTGATCCTTCTCGAATTGATATGTTCATAATCTCACCCAGCTATTCTTTTTTGTGTGCTGTGAGAATTCTGAAGATGATATATTATTGTTAACTACAGTCTATCAAAATGTCATGTCACAAACTATAAATTCATACAACAAAAAAGTGCACTGCCTACACTCAATCTTAGCCAAAAGCATGAGAAGCAATGCCCCATGAATATTTGTAAATATGAAACCTATACACAGATCAAAATATCCAAAGTCCTTCCATATAATGCCCACAATTACGCCTCTACCTCCATAAAAAATCCCTTAAGAAGAATTGTGACGTCCATCATCCTACAATATCTTATAATTTAAAAATCATGACCATGCAAGGATGTCTTCCACAACATAACTAGTGCTTTCCTACTTTCAGCACAAGCACTGGCTGTCTGGGCCAAGACAGTGGTATTTGTAGGACCAAGGCTTTAAATTTTATGACATAGATCTTTCTCTTTTTTTTCACCACAGACTTTCAAATATCATGGTCGTTATTGGCCTGAACATCCACCTACAGCATTTTGGGAGCAGTGTTTACCTTTTGCAAGGCCTCTTCGGAGTAGTCAACCTCCTGGGTAATTTTGTGGCACTGTTGGCACTGAATCACATAGGCCGTCGGGGAAGTCAGGCATTGTTCTCGTTCGTACTGGGAATCTCCATTCTGTCCCTCACATTTGTGCCTCAAGGTAAGAAATGAGAACAGGTGGAAGAAAATAAAAGTCTTCCCCTGCCCCTTTCCTCAGTTGTTGCATTGCTCATACCTGTCTGAACCAAAAAACAGAAAGCAGATGGGTTGTAAAGTTTCCATAAAGCAAGCTGAGGCTTTGTGACTGGCTCTGCCAGTGGGTTACTGGGAGAATTGGAAGTCAGGAAGAGTCAATGTGAACATGTCTTGCCTTCCTCACGTCCGAGAAGGATCTGCAAACTGGTGCTATTTAATCTGGCACTTTCTCGAACAAGACTTTTTCACTTGACTTTTCACAAATCCAACTCCTCAGCATCTCTGACATGATGGTGTCCATTACGTGAGGCTGTATCCCATGAGGGCTCTTTCATGTGACCCCAGCTTCAGTGGCAATATACTGCCTTGTCTCTGGGTATCCACCTGTGGGTCATACACTGCAAGCTTGGTATAGAAGAGTCATCTTGACTTCAGGAAATAAAAATCCCTTATTGTCACTCCAAGAAGTGTCTACTAACAAAAAAGAAGTAGTTAAGACTCTCTTAGAATCAATTTTGCTGAATGAGATGATCATACTTAATGAACAGGGGAACCTAGGTTGTCATCATACTTAGCCTAAATCACAGGGCATAATAGTGTAATCCACATAGTGTGATCATATAATAATACATTCTGCACATAGCATAATAGTCACACATACTTCACCCAAATCCCACAGTAGTGATTCTACAGGAACTCCACTTCTCCCAAATGTCCACAATGATACCATGTGCTGCCTTACAGCAGAGTTCCAAGTTGTAATCTCTCGTGAGATTTGTCTTTTATCTGGGTAGGCAATAGACTCTCTGAAATTCCTGTTTAAGATTTACAAAGTTGAAAAAAAAAGTTTAATATTCTTTAATATTATTCTAGATCAAGTACTCTTGAATTTGTCCATGAGCCTCCAAATCCTCTTGGCTTTATTGCTCTCCTCTGTGACAGCAGTTTCATGTCGATATTGTGTTTGCATCTAGATGTTAAACTCCTGTAGGAAATGGATGTGTCTTACATCCCTCAGTACTTGCCCACAGGATGATTCTTTATTCTCCATGAAGAACCCAAGAACCCTGGAAGGATAAATGGAAGCCATGTCCTGTTGGACTCACATTCTCCCTTCTATATTTGGCAAATCTCCAGTATGCAGGGACAAGTGATGCAATAGCTGAAGGCATTTTATTTAATACACCAATCACTCAGGTAGAGGAGTCACATTTCTTAGCTGATGACCGTGGCATATTCTCTGCCTCTGTGCAGCTTTTCCTCAGTATATTTTACACTTGAATCATCTCAATGTGTATTTACACTCCAAACTGCAGGGTCTTTGTCTCTTGGAATTTGGGGGATGTTAAATTCTTATGGCTTTGATTTTCTGAGTTTCACTCGTCTTTTTCTTAAGAAATGGAGACCCTGCGTGTGACTTTGTCAGTTTTCGGAGGAGGACTTTCTAGTGCAGCTATGAGCAGTTGTGTTACCCATGGAAATGAACTTCTCCCCACAGCAATCAGGTAGAAAATCTTATGGAGGATCTCTCAAGGCCAAAAACAGACCTTTTCAGCTAATCGGGACTTATATGGGAATATAGAGACTGGTAAATAACCAAAACTCTTATTTATAAGCTATCAATTAATATTAATAATAATGACACTTACCTTGGTTAAAAGTTGCCTTTTTGCCTTTAATATATCATTTCATGTACTCTTTTTTTCTTTTTTCTTTTTTATTTATTTTTTTTTTGACAGGCAGAGTGGACAGTGAGAGAGAGAGACAGAGAGAAAGGTCTTCCTTTGCCATTGGTTCACCCTCCAATGGCCGCTGCAGCCAGCGCACTGCACTGATCCAAAGGCAGGAGCCAGGTGCTTATCCTGGTCTCCCATGGGGTGCAGGACCCAAGCACTTGGGCCATCCTCCACTACACTCCCAGGCCACAGCAGAGAGCTGGCCTGGAAGAGGGGCAACCGGGACAGAATCCGGCACCCTTACCAGGACTAGAACCCGGTGTACCAGCGCCGCAAGGCAGAGGATTAACCTATTGAGCCACGGCGCCGGCCTCATGTACTCTTATAAGTCACTTAAAGGGTGGGTACTGTGGGCCATAGTGTTTCAAAAATAGAGAGAACATGCCTTAATGCCCTGTGGACTTGAAAATAATTTCCTAGCAAATAAGAGAGCATATTTCAAATGCAAGAGTGTGTTGTCAACCTGCAAGTGTCTAAACACTGTTCTGGTGTCCACAAAATAATAAATCACAACTTACATGATTATTTTTGTGTTGTTTGTGTTCCAAGGGCAACAGCTTCAGGAATCATTACCATCGCTGGTAGCACTGGGGCTGCCCTGGCTCCCTTGGTAATGATCCTGAGGATTTATTATGCACCCTTACCCTGGATCATCTACGGAGCTATGTCCATCCTCTCCGGCCTTGTTGTCCTCCTCCTCCCTGAGACCAGGAACCAGCCTCTGCCTGACTCCATCCAGGATGTGGAAGATGAGTGAGTGACCCTCCAGCTGCCCCAAGAGCCTCTGTGCCACAGATCTGTGATGAGAAAGGCAAAACACCAGGCAGGGCTGCTGTCCCTTGGGTTGGCCTAGAGCTAGGCCCATAGGCCCAGGCTCTTTCCATGTGGTCAATGCCTTTGGCTTAGGGACAGTGTCATCTCACCTGTCAGTGACTTCAGTTCTCCCCTGAAGCTATGCACTTATAGGTTTAGTGGCAAGGAAACCAAGACTGTATCCCATCTGCCATCTCTTCCCTGGTGTGACATGCACATCCCTGAAGGTATCCCACAATACTGCAGAAAAACTAGTGCCACATCTCCTTCCCCGTCCCTGGAAGCCTGGGGTTGCAAGAGTGCTGGGAAGCTATCTGGAACTCCAGTTACCTGTAGGTCTGAGGTCCACCCTTCTCACTACAACACCAGGTGGAGACTAATTACAAGACTGGGGTCACTCTCCAAGATGGCAGTGCATCTAAGGGAAGAAGATTTTGCCTGTGAGGTTCAGTCCATGTGGTTTTCACCGGGAAGGAAAGTGTTCATAAAATATCAAGAAAGGTATACCAAACAGATTTTAAAATGATGAACAGTTGGGCAGAATTGTAAATCTTTGTTATTTCCAAAGACCCCTTTGGAGAAGGGCAGGACGCCATAGGGTAGGGAGTAGAAATTGTCCATGCTGCCTTCTCAGCTCCTACAGGGAGGCTGGTCTTCTACTTTGCAAGATTCACTGGAGACCACAGGCAGGTCCATGATTACTCCCGAGGCTGATGCCCTATCAGCATGCTCTGAAGAACGAGGAGACACTTGTTTTCTCTCTGCCCTTTCATGTTTGTGTTTGCTTATTTGTGATTTTCATTGTGTCTGTCCCAGGAGAAAAGCCTCAAGAAAAGCAAAGCAGGACGAAACCTTCATCAAAGTGACACAGTTTTAATGAATCCCGGGAGCTGACTGCTGATCAAAATGCAAGAAAAAGGAAAATAGTCAGAGTCATTCCTTCGTACTAATAAACTTGGAAAGTAAATAAATAGATATGACAGAAAAAATGGATCCCACTTAGAAATGTGGTACTAAATTACTGTATATAAAAATGCATGATTAAACACAGTATGAAGTATGAAGAAAATCATACTTTAAAAGGAATCATGACAGAATGTGTAAGTGTAAATACTTAGCATATTTTTGGATAGGAAAGTAGGGTAGATTTAAAGCAATGATTCTCTCCCAGTTCATTAACATAATAATTGATACAGTAATTCTAATGTGGATACCAACAGTTTCAAAACAACTTGAAGAAAATAATAGTTCCAAATTTACATGGAATAAATAATTAACAAGATTTAGGAAAATGAATTTCATGGACTAAGGACAGGGCAGGCTGGCATAAGCTGGAGTAAGAAGTGGTTATTTTGTCATCATAAATTACCAGTCTCAACACAGGAGTCTGTAGTTCAGTATGAGGAACTTCAAAGAACTTGTGGTGAAATGGAATTAAAAGATAAGTTTTGTTTGATGCATAAAATTTTGAAATCTGTGCATGGTTTATACATATTATACACTTTTCTGGGACTTTCTGAAGATTCCTCCTGTTGTGGATTTTATCAACAGGCTGTTTGTGTGTCCTTATCATACAAATAACACAATTTGGTGAGGCTTTAAATGAGAAATCATTAGGCATTCACCTTGCATCTCAATTTGGCTGCTTTAGCCTTTTTTTCTCCTAACATTAACAAATCTTGGCCCACCCTCAGCCAGGCAGAAAAACCTGACTCTGGTGGGGAGAAATAACAGGAGGTTAAGACCTAGTGAATGTGTGGAGCTTATGAACTAGGAATGTGGGAAAAAAAAAAAACTGAGCATGTGTGGGAGAACTCATGGTGTGCCTGAGACATACTCTCGGTGGGAGGGAGACGCCACAATCTTAGTAGCCTTGGCAACCTGGTGGAAGACACTGCAGAGGAATCCGCGTTTACACTGAAGACTGCGAAGATCCTTTGTGTGGTCCTTGGGACAGAGCAGATGAATATTATACTGACTGGGGCTAGCGATCAGGCAATAGCTCAGCTGAGTGGAATTACTTCCCTTCTGAATAAAGAGAGAGAGAGAGAGAGAGAGAGAGAGAGAGAGAGAGAGAAATTTACCAGGCCAAACCTGGGTGTGTCAGTTTGGGACACCCTTAACCATGAAGAACAGAACTAAACAGAGCTCTCTGGCCACACTCACCACAAGCCTCTAGAGATTCACCAAAAGCAGACAGTCCACTTAATCTAGAGTCATAGTATAATGAGAAAAACCATCACAACGAGAAAAAAAGAAGAAACCAAAGAATATCTCCACAATGCCAAACAAAAAAACACAGAATTAAGGAAACAAGAAAAAAGAAGACATTATAATGCTCCCAAATAAACATGACACTCCAATACAAGATTATGAAGATGATGAGATAGAAGAAATGCAGATATGGATTTCAAAAACTTATGGTAAGAATATTTAGAAGTTATCAGAAACAAATTCATGAACTACAGAAATCCATACTGGACAGGATATAAAATCTCTCTCGTGAAAATGAAATCTTAAGGAGGAATCAAAATGAAATGAGGAAATTAGTAGAACATGAAATTGTGATATTGAAAAGAAATCAAAATGAAATGAAGAATTCAATGGAACAAATGACAAATGCATTTGAGAGCCTTAAAAAACAGAATCAGTAAGATAGAAGAGAGAATATCAGACTTAGAAGACAAACCACAGGTCAGTATAGAGTCAAACCAAAGAAAAGAAGAGGAAATTAGAAATTAAAAAATATTGTTGGGAATCTACAGGATACTATTTAAAAAACCAACATTCGGGTCCTAGGAGTTCCTGAAGGCATGGAGAGAGAAAGGATTAGAAGGCCTTTTAGTGAGACACTAGCAGAAAACTTCCCAGGTTTGGAGGACAGGAAGCACACAGATCCCTGTTAAACATAAGAGTGGGAATAAGAGAGGGAAGAGATGTACAATTTGGGACATGCTCAAGCTGACTTGCCCTAAATGGTAGAGTTAGAAACATACCAGGGGACTCCAATTTAATCCCATCAAGGTGGCATGTACCAATGCCATCTCACTAGTCCAAGTGATCAATTTCAGTTCAAAATTGATCATAATGAAAGGACTAAGAGTCAAAGGGAGCACATAAACAAGTCTAGTACCTGCTAATACTAACCGATAGAATAAATAAAGGGGAGAGTGATCCAACATGGGAAGCGAGATACTCAGCAGACTCATAGAATGGCAGATGTCCTAAACAGCACTCTGGCCTCAGTATCAGCCCTAAAGGCATTCCTATCTGGCTGAAAAGCCCATGAGAGTATTTCAGGCATGGAAAGCCAAGACACTAAGGCAAAAAAAAAAAAACCTAAATGAAAGATCTCTGTGAGTGAGATCCCAGTGGAAAGAACAGGTCTTCAAAGAAGGAGGTACCTTTCTCTGAAGGGAGGAGAGAACTTCCACTTTGACTATGACCTTGTCTAAACAAGATAAGAGTCGGAGAACTCAAGGGGTTTCCATAGCCTTGGAAACTCATGACTGGTGCATAGGGAGATTACCGATGCCATAAACAGGAGTGTCAATTTGTAAAGTCAACAACAGGAGTCACTGTGCACTTACTCCTCATGTAGGATCTCTGTCCTTAATGTGCTGTACATTGAGATTTAATGCTATAACAAGTACTCAAACAGTATATTTCACTTTGTGTTTCTATGGGGGTGCAAACTGTTGAAATCTTTACTTAATGTATACTAAACTGATCTTCTGTTAAAAAAAAAAAGAAGAAGAAATTAGCAATTCCCAACTTGACTCTCACTGGGATTAAACATGACAATAGGTCTGATCTGATTTCATCATCATTTAAAAAAAATCATCTATTATTTTTCACTTTATGTTTCTGTGTGGGAGCAAACTGTTGAAATCCTTACTTAATGTATACTAAGCTGATCTTCTGTATATTAAGATAATCGAAAATGAATCTTGATGTGAATGGAAGGGAAGAGGGAGTGGGAAAGGGGAGGGTTGTGGGTGGGAGGGATGGTATGGGGGGGAAGCCATTGTAATCCATAAGTCGTACTTTGGAAGTTTATATTCATTCAATAAAAGATTAAAAAAAAGAAAGAAAATGAATCCTCATGTAAATGGAAGGGGAGAGGGAGTGGGAGAGGGGAGGGTTGCAGGTTGGAGGGACGTTATGGGGGAAGCCATTGTAATCCATAAGCCGTACTTTGGAAATTTATATTCATTAAATAAAAGTAAAAAAAAAAAACTGTTAAGAGAGACAAAGAAGGGCACTATATAATGATTAAGGGATCAATTCAACAGGAAGATGTAACTCTTATCAATGTATGTGCACCTAATTACAGGACACCAGTTTATTTAAAAGATATGTTAAGGGACTTAAAGGGAGACTTAGACTCCAATACAATAGTACTGGGGGACTTCAATACTCCACTCTCAGAAATAGACAGATCAACTGGACAGAAGATCAACAAGGAAACAGCAGACATAGACTCGAATAGTTTAGTACTGGGGGACTTCAATACTCCACTTTCAGAAATAGATCAACTGGACAGAAGATCAACAAGAAAACAAGAGATTTAATCGACACTATAGCCCAGATGGATCTAACAGATATCTACAGAACTTTTACCCTACACTTTAAGGATTTACATTCTTCTCAGCTGTACATGGAACCTACTCTAGGATTAACCACATACTAGGCCATAAAGTAAGTCTCAGCAAATTCAAAAGAATAGAAATCATACCATGGACACTATGTGAAACAGTGGCTTGATTGGCCCTTGTCCTGACTGTTGATGTACAACTTAATATTTATCCCTTTAGTATTTTTTTGTTCTACTTAATACTATTGGATGAAGTCTGTAATTAACAAAAAATTATTCTTAAGTGTTCAAATTTAACTGAAACGTGATCTCTGCTAAATATAAGAGTGGGAATAAGGAGGGAGGAGATGTACAATTTGGGACATACTCAAGCTGACTTGCCCCAAATGGTAGAGTTAGAAATGTGCCAGGGGATTCCAATTCAATCCCATCAAGGTGGCATGGACCAATGACATCTCACTAGTCCAAGTGATCAATTTCTGTTCACAATTGATCATACTGATAGGTCTAAAAGTCAAAGGGATCACACAAACAAGACTAGTGTATGTGAATACTAACTGATAGAATCAAAAAGGGAGAGGACGATAAAACAGGGGAAGTGGGATACACAGCAGACTCATAGAAGAACAGATGTCCTAAACAGCACTCTGGCCTCAGAATCAGCCCTTAAACTATTCATATCTGGCCGAAGAGACCATGAGAGTATTTCAGAAATGGAAAGCCAAGACACTCTGGCAAAAAATAGAGGACCTAAATGAAAGATCTCTGAGAGTGAGATCCCAGTGGAAAGAACGGGGCCATCAAAGAAGGAGGTACCTTTCTCTGAAGGGAGGAGAGAACTTCCACTTTAACTATGACCCTGTCAGAATAAGATTGAAGTCAATGAACTCAAAAGGCTTCCATAGCCTTGGCAACTCATGACTAGAGCCTAGGGAGATTACTGATGCCATAAACAAGAGTGTCAAATTGTTAAGTCAACAACAGGAGTCACTGTGTACTTACTCCTCACGTAGCATCTCTGTTCGTATTGTGTTGTTCAATGTGATTAATGCTATATCTAGTACTGAAACAGTATTTTACACTTTGTGTTTCTGTGTGGGTGCAAACTGTTGAAATCTTTACTTAATATATGCTAAATTGATCTTCTGTATATAAAGATAATTGAAAATGAATCTTGATTTGAATGGAATGGGAGAGGGAGTGGGAGTTGGGAGGTTTGCGGGTGGGAGGAAAGTTAGGGGGTAAAAAGCCATTGTAAACCATAAGCTGTACTTTGGAAATTTATATTTACTAAATAAAAGTTAAAAAAAATACCATGGAATAAACTTAACCAAGATGTTAAAGATCTCTATGATGAGAATTACAAAATGTTAAAGAAATAAATAGAAGAGGATACCAAAAAATGGAAAAATCTTCCATGCTCATGGATTGGAAGAGTCAATGTCATCAAAATGTCCATTCTCCCAAAAGCAACTTATATATTCAATGCAATACCAATCAAAATACCAAAGACATTCTTCGCAGATCTAGAAAGAATGATGCTGAAATTTATATGGGGCACAGGAGACCTCGAATAGCTAAAGCAATCTTGTACAACAAAAACAAAGCTGGAGGCATCACAATACCAGATTTCAGGACATACTACAGGGCAGTTGTAATCAAAACAGCATGGCATTGGTAAAGAAACAGATGGATAGAACAATGGAACAGAATAGAAACACCAGAAATCATCCAAACATCTACAGCCAACTTATATTTCATCAAGGATCCAAAACCAATTCCTGGAGCAAGGACACTGTATTCAGTAAATGGTGCTGGGAAAACTGGATTTCCATGTGCAGAAGCATGAAGCAAGACCCCTACCTTTCACCTTACACAAAAATCCATTCAACATGGATTAAAGACTTAAATCTATGACCCGACACCATCAAATTATTAGAGAACATTGGAGAAACCCTGCAAGATATAGGTATCGGCAATGACTTCTTGGAAAACACCCCGGAGGCACAGGCAGTCAAAGCCAAAATTAACATTTGGGATTGCATCAAATTGAGAAGTTTCTGTACTGCAAAAGAAACAGTCAGGAAAATGAAGAGGTAACCAACAGAATGGGAAAAAATATTTGCAAACTATGCAACAGAGAAAGGGTTAATAACCAGAATCTACAAAGAGATCAAGAAACTCCACAATAACAAAACAAACAATCCACTCAAGAGATGGGCCAAGGACCTCAATAGACATTTTTCAAAAGAGGAAATCCAAATGGCCAACAGACACATGAAAAAATGTTCAGGATCCCTAGCCATCAGGGAAATGCAAATCAAAACCACAATGAGGTTTCACCTCACCCCGGTTAGAATGGCTCACATTCAGAAATCTACCAACAACAGATGCTGGTGAGGATATGGGGAAAAGGGAAACTCACCTACTGTTGGTGGGAATGCAAACTGGAAAAGCCACTATGGAAGTGAGTTTGGAAATTCCTCAGAAACCTTACTAAAACCCTACCATACAACCCAGCCATTTCACTCCTTGGAATTTACCCAAAGGAAATTAAATTGGCAAACAAAAAAGCTGCTGCACATTAATGTTTATTGCAGCTCAATTCACAATAGCTAAGACCTGGAATCAACCTAAATGCCCATGAACAGTAGACTGGTTAAAGAAATTATGGGATATGTATGCTATAGAATACTATACAGCAGTCGGCCGGCGCTGCAGCTCAATAGGCTAATCCTCCGCCTGCAGTGCCAGCACACTGGATTCTAGTCCCGGTTGGGGCACCAGATTCTGTCCTGGTTGCCCCTCTTCCAATTCAGCTCTCTGCTGTGGCCCAGAAATACAGTGGAGGATGGCCCAGGTGCTTGGGCCCTGCACCCACATGGGAGACCAGGAGAAACACCTGGCTCCTGGCTTCAGATCAGCACGGTGCGCCGGCTGCAGCGCGCCAGCCACAGCAGCCATTGGAGGGTGAACCAACGGCAAAGGAAGACCTTTCTCTCTGTCTCTCTCTCTCTCACTGTCCACTCTGCCTGTCAAAAAAAAGAAGAAGAATACAATACAGCAGTAAAAAAAATGAAATTCGGTCATTTGCAACAAAATGGAGGAATCTGGAAAACATCATGCTGAGTGCAATAAGCCAATCCCAAAGGGACACATATCATATGTTCCCCCTGATTGGTGACAACTAACTGAGCACCAAAAAGGAAAGCTGTTGAAGTGAAATGGACACTGTGAGAAACAAGATCAGCCCTTGTCCTGACTGTTGAGGAGCAACTTAATACTTTATTCCTTTTACTATTTTTTTGTTCTACTCTATACTATTGGTTGAACTCTTTAATTAACACACAATTATTCTTAGGTGTTTAAAGTTAACTGAAAAGTGATCCCTGTTCAATATAAGAGTGGGAATAAAAGAGGGAGGAGATGTATAGTTTCACACATGCTCAATTGGACTTGCCCTGAACGGTAGAGTTAGAAATGTGCCAGGGGATTCCAATTCAATCCCATAAAGGTGGCATGGACCAATGACATCTCACTAGTCCAAGTGATCAGTTTCAGTTCACAATTGATCATGATAGGATTAAGAGTCAAAGGGATCACACAAACAAGTCTAGTGTCTGCTAATACTAACTGATAGAATCAAAAAGGGAGAGAACGATCCAACATGGGAAGCAGGATACACAGCAGACTCATAGAATGGCAGATGTCCTAAATAGCACTCTGGCCTCAGAATCAGCCCTTAAGCTATTCATATCTGGCTGAAGAGCCCATGAGAGTATTTCAGACATGGAAAGCCAAGACACTGTGGGAAAAAAAAAGAGGACCTAAATGAAAGATCTCTGAGAGTGAGATCCTAGTGGAAAGAACGGTGCCATCAAAGAAGGAGGTACCTTTCTCTGAAGGGAGGAGAGAACTTCCACCTTGACTATGACCCTGTCAGAATAAGATCAAAGTCAGCGAACTCAAAAGGCTTCCATAGCCTTGGCAACTCATGACTAGAGCCTAGGGAGATTACTGATGCCATAAACAAGAGTGTCAAATTGTTAAGTCAACAACAGGAGTCACTGTGTACTTACTTCTCATGTGGGATCTGTCCTTAATGTGTTGTCCAATGTGAAGTAATGCTATAACTAGTACTGAAACAGTATTTTACACTTTGTGTTTCTGTGTGGGTGCAAACTAATGAAATCTTTACTTAATATATGCTAAATTGATCTTCTGTATATAAAGATAATTGAAAATGAATCTTGATGTGAATGAAATGGGAGAAGGAGCGGGAGATGGGAGGGGTGCGAGTGGGAGGGAAATTATGGGGGAGGGGCCATTGTAATCCATAAACTGTACTTTGGAAATTTATATTTACTAAATAAAAAATGTAAAAAAATTGAATATGCAAATAAAAGTTGAAAGAACAAAAAATATATTTATTTTTATCTATTTGTAAAGCAAAAACAGGGAAACGGAGACAGAAGGACAGAACGAGATTTTCCATCCTCTGATTCACTCCCCAAACATCCACAATAGCTGAGACTAAGGCAGGTCAAAGCCAGGAGCCCAGAACTAAACCCAAGTCTCCCATAAGACTGGCAGGAACCCAAGTACTTGTCCCATCATCACTGTCTTCCAGGGTGCACTCTTCCAGGAAGATGGATTAGAAAGCAGAGGCAGGACTTGAACCCAGGCACTCTGATGTGGAATGCGAGTATCCCAAGTGATGTCTTAGCTACAGTGCTAAATGCCTGCTGCTCACTCTATTTTTTACGTGTTTAATTTTCTGTTGATTCATATAGCTTTTCGTTAACCCTGTGAGTTTTTCTTTTATGTAACTATACATTCTTGCCTTTTGAACATTTTAGTATTATACTGTGTCTTCCTTCTCATAGACCTATAAAAGAATCATACGTGTTATGTATATTTAAATTTTGACAATTGTTAGTTTGTCCTTGCACTTGATTTTTAACAATACCTTACAATAGTTTTGAAACATCGAATAATCCTTTTGTAACTGTGGACACAAAAATTACAAAGAAAGTACAAATCATTTATAGATACACTATCAAAAGTTCACAGCTTTTACTGTTTTTGTAAATATTTGCTTAGATTTCCCTCATAAATTATGAATATTTTGTCTTCCAGAAGTTCTGTACAAGTAAGCTGTCAAATCTGCCTATTTTTAAATTTGTGGCATTTGGTTTATTGTACACATCTTTTTTTTCCTGGATTTTTGAGGAGACTTTTCTTTGAAGTAATATGCTTTAGTTGTTCTGTTTAATTTTTAGTTATGTGGACTTGTTTTGATTTGTACATGTATCTGCTGTCACAATTTTGAGTATTGCAGCTCATTCTGATTTATACCAGTCAGTTCCAACCTTGTTCTATGAATCTCATTTTTCAATAGCTTCTTGTCTATTATTCATTTCTAGATAAATTTAAAAATATTTTCAAGTTGTGTTAAAAGCACAAAGTCCTTAAAATGTTATCAATTACTGTAGTAAAAATTGGGGATGAATTGGGGTTTAAAATCTATTTTGTCTTTAACCCAGAAGCATGTTAAATATCTACAATTACACAAATGTTATATCATGGTTCTGTATTTTTCAAATACAAATATATTATATTAGTCTAAGGGAATAATTTGTTGATTTCTACAAGGAAAAAACCCAAGAGTGGCTGAAAACCAAATAAGAAGAGTAAGGATGATTCAGATGTCTCCATTTTTGTTTATTTCATGTATTTTTCTCCCCTAGGGGAAAAGAGTGTAATTTTACACAATTTTAGCAAAATAAAAAATGCAAATAACAGGATACAACATCAAAAGCTACACCTATGAGAAATAACCAATTAAAACTCAATACCTTCTTTTATGAATTAATTTAAGGTTCTGGGCAACTGTGTGGCCTAATATAAAATTGAAACCCTTGTTCCTTTTCTTCAGACTTTTTTTTTTTTTTGACAGGCAGAGTTAGACAGTGAGAGAGAGAGACAGAGAGAAAGGTCTTCCTTTTCTGTTGGTTCACCCCCATGTGGCCGCTTTGGCCAGCACATTGCAGCCGGCGCGCTGCGCCCATCCAAAGCCAGGAACCAGGAGCTTCTTCCTGGTCTCCCATGGGGTGCAGGGCCCAAGCACTTGGGCCATCTTCCACTTCCTTCCCGGGCCACAGCAGCGAGCTAGACTGGAAGAGGAGCAACCGGGGCAGAATCCGGCACCCCAACCGGGACTAGAACCTGTGGTGCCAGTGCCGCAGGCGGAGGATTAGCCTAGTGAGCTGCGGCGCCAGCTTCTTCATATTTCTTAGAGTGAGTAGTCATTGACAATTTACATTAGTCACTTGGTTCCACAATGGTAAATAAAATCTATTTTTTCTTCTGTGTGTGCTTATTTACTCTCTAAATGTTGCCAGTATCTACGAATGATCAAGGTGGGTTTTGTCTTCTCTTGCACGTTGCACAGCAGTCAGCTCCTGGAATTCCCTAAAACCGGGTCACCTTGTCCAGAGAGTCTTCCCGCTCTGCTTTGGTTGAGGCTCTGGCCCTGCAGTGAGAACCACAGACACACACATGAAAGGGCTCGAAGAAAGCAGACACCCTCATCCTTCAACCACCAGCTTGGGTGAAAACCACAACCCCGGGACCTTTCTGTCTCTCCCTCTCACTGTCTGTAACTCTACCTCTCAAATAAATAAATAAAATCTTAAGAATGTGTCATATGGGGATATTTAAAATTCATTTTAAAACCAAATCGATTTTAGTACAATAATTTTTTTTTTTTTTGGGAAAGAGGATCTCAATGCAACCACTCTGCCCTTTCCTGTTAATTTCTATCTAACAGTTAAGAGTTTATTTTTTAAAAGATTTGTTTGTTTATTTATTTGAAAGACAGAGTTACAGAGAGGCAGAGGCAGAGGCAGAGGGAGAGAGAGAGAGGTCTTCCAACTGCTGGTTCACTCTCCAAATGGCCGCAATGACCAGAACTGGCCTATCCAAAGCCATGAGCCAGGAGCCAGGAGCCTTTTCCAGGTCTTCCACATGGGTGCAGAGACCCAAGGACTTGGGCCATCCTGTAGTACAATAATTTTTTTAAGTCACAGACCAGCCTCTCTGGCAGCGGCTGGGAAGGCAGATCTGGCAGTGTCCACGCCACCCTCAGACTTCCTGCCATTCCCCAGGGGGCTCTTAAGAACTAACTAGGGAGGCCCACAAAAGGTTTCCAGTCCTACCCAATTAATCATCATTTTTAAATCTCCTTATTTTATTTTATTTACCACGCTTTTCTTGTCTTTCTTGAACACTTTCCCTCCTAGTGACATCCAGATGCAATGAGGGTTGCAACAGGCAACACAGCAGTTCCCCTACCCATAGATGTCTTGTCGTTCATGGGAAAGGCCCTACTCCTGTACTTGGTCTCCTCCAGTGTCCTTGGCCAGCAGGGCAAGCCTCAGAGCTACAGGGCTACGTAGTCCTGTAACAGTTCCCCTATAGTGCCAGCACTTATGGAGCTGTGGGCCAACAGCATCTGGGGGATGAGATGTGGCATTAGATTTCGTACATGATTTTAACATGCCTTTAGGAACATGTATGTCACATCAGGACAGGTAGAGCAGAGAAGATCTAATCGTGGCCTCCTCACCACTGAAGCTACAGGTGCAGGCTGGCCAGATCTGGTCTGTAGGATCAGTGGAGTCACTGAAGGATGCAGCAATGCTGTCCCTAAGCCGAAGGCACTGACCACATGGAAAGAAGCTAGATCCAAGGACTTTGGTGTAAGCCTGTGCAGGAGACAGCGTCCCTGTTTGGCATTTTGCCTTGCTCATCACAGACCTGTGGCACAGAGAAGCGGGGCAGCCAGAGGGTTCACTCACTTATTTTTCACATCCTGAATGTAGTCAGGCAGAGGCTGGTTTCTGGTTTCAGGAAGAAGGAGGACAGAAAGGCCAGCGACGATGGAGAGGATTCCATAGATGATCCAAGGAAGGGGTTCAGAATACATCCTTAGAATCATCATCAGCGGAGACAGGGCAGCCCCAAAGTTACCGCAAATTGCAATTATTCCTAAACCTGTCGCCCTTGGAACACAAGCAACACAAAAATTATTTGGAAAAATGTTCATAAGTATGTCATGATTTATTATTTTTCTTTGATTATGGGGGACACCAGAACAGACTGTTTAGGCTCACAATATAATCTTGCAGTTTAAATAAACTCTCTTAATTGATAGCAACTTTTTTCAAGCATACAAGACACATTTTCAATATTTTAGAAATACTGTTATAACCGTTTTTCCAAGGATGCAATAAAATGGCCAATAGACCCATGAAAAAATGCTCAGGATCACTAACCATCAGTGTAATGCAAATAAATACCACAATGAGATGTCACCTCATCCCGTCAGAATGGCTCCCATCCAAAATCCAAAAATAACAAATACTGGTGAAGATGAGGAGGAAAAGGTACCCTAATACACTGTTGGTGGGAATGTGAATTGATACAACCATTATGGAAGACACTATGGATATTCCTCAGAAAACTAAAAATAGATCAACTATATGACCCAGCCATCTCACTTTTGAGAATATATCCAAAGGAATGAAATTAGCATATACACTCATGTTTATAGCAGCCCAATTCACAATAGATAAGATATGGAATCAACCTAGATATCCACCAACAGGTCACTGGATAAAGAAAACGTGGTATAAATTACTCAGCCACTTAAAAAAATAAAATCATGACTCCTGAAACAAAATGGATGCAACTGGAGATCATTATGCTTAATGAAATTAGCCAGAACCTGAAAGGCAAATATCAAATGTTTTCTCTTATTTGTAGTAGTTAATATAGAGAGAGTATAAAAACTGTATAAAAACTTTACTGATTGTGAGTGAAATTGACTTTTTTTAAAAGATTTATTTATTTTCATTTGAAAGAGTTACACAGAGAGAGGAGAGGCAGGGAGAGAGAAAGAGAGAGAGAGAGAGAGAATCTCCCATCTGCTTGTTCACTCCTCAGCTGGCCGCAATGGGTGGAGCTGTGCCAATCCGAAACCAGGAGCCAGGAGCTTCCTCCAGGTCTCCCACGTGGGTGCAAGGGCCCAAGGACTTGGGCCATCCTCCACTGCTTTCCCAGGCCATAGCAGAGAGCTGGATTGGAAGTGGAGGAGCCAGGTCTCGAACTGGCGCCCATATGGGATGCCGGCGCTTCAGGCCAGGGCATTAAGCCGCTGTCGGCCAGCCCCGACATTTTTTTTTAATTTGATTATTGTTTATAGCACTTGTCTATATTCCTGTAGGACAGATCTTTTTACTTTTTTATTTGTTGAACTCTTTATGTAATGGAACACTAAGCCTTTGACTATAAAGTAAATTTAAAATATGTTCTCTCAAAAATTAAGAGAAAGAAAGGAAAGAGAGAGAGAGAAGAGGGAGGAAAGGAAGTATCATTATATTCTTAGAATTGTGTCTATGAACTACATTTAATCTATTCTCTTTATAGTAATAAAAATGTAAACCAAATATAAAAATAAAAACAAAACACTGTTATCTATAGTACCCACTCTTTCCGTGATCATAAGACTACATGAGTCAGCCAGCACTGCGGCTCACTTGGCTAATCCTCCACCTGCGGCGCTGGCACCCCGGGTTCTAGTCCCAGTTGGGGTGCCGGATTCTGCCCCGGTTGCTCCTCTTCCAGGCCAGCTCTCTGCTGTGGCCCAGAAGTACAGTGGAGGATGGCCCAAGTGCTTGGGTCCTGCACCCACATGGGAGACTAGGAGGAAGCACCTGGCTCCTGGCTTCAGATCAGCACAGTGCACCAGTCACAGCACACCGGCCGTGGCGGCCATTTGGGGGGTGAACCAACAGAAAAGGAAGACCTTTCTCTCTGTCTGTCTCTCTCACTCTGTAACTCTGCCTGTCCAAAAAAAAAAAAAAAAAAAAAAAGACTACATGAGTTGAGTCGATCCATCAAAGGTAAAAATCCGCTTCCTGTAAAATCAGGCTATCCTTTTTGTTGTTGCTGTTACTATCACAGCTGATGTTTGCATAACTATCCTACTTTTTGTTTGTTTCTTCTATAAGTCTCAATGAGCTGGAAAGAGCCATGTTGACCTCATAAAGTATCCATGAGATTTTGTACCTGAATGAAGTGGGGATCAGTTCATTTCCTTGAGTAATAGAGCAGAGGAGAGTTGCCACACAAACTCCTTCTCCAAAAGTAGACAATACCACACGCAGGGTATCCATCTCTGGAAAAAAAGACCAGTGAGACTTAGAAAGCCAGAGTAGAAGGAATCACTATCCCCCAAATGTCAGACACAAGAGATCCTATTGGAGATATTTGCAGTGCAAGATTCATTGAGGAAAAGACTGAACAGAGGCAGAGAATGTTCAGTGTCTGATAGCCAAGAAATGTGACTTCTCTACCTATTGTGACTGACACATTGAAGGATTTGCATCATATGGCATCATTTTGTCACTTCAAATCTGAGATTCACAAAAGATAAGGGGACAAAGTGAGTCTGGCAAGAGTTTTGCTTTCATTATTTTTCCATTGTTCTCAGGTCCTCCATGTGGAATTTGGGATGGCCAGAGGGCAATTACTAGGGATGTTAAACTCATCAGCCACTGAGCAGTTTAAAACCTAGAAGCAGGGTGGTCATTTGGTGCACCAGTTAGGTTGCCTTTTGGACACCTGCATCCCCTATCAGAGTCCCTGGGTTCAAATCCCAGCTTCACTTCCAATTCAGCTTCCTGCTAATGTGCAGCCTGGGAAGCAGTAGGTGATGGCTCAAGTACTTGAATCCCCACCACCCATGTGGGAGACCCAGCTGGAGTTCTTGACTCCTGGCTTCAGTCCGACCCAATCAATTGTTATGGGCATTTGAGAAGTGAATCAGTAGATGAAAGTTTTCTCTCTCCTCTCCTCTCCTCTCCTCTCCTCCCTTCCTGTATATATACATACAATTTGATATAATTTATCAAATAAAATAACATCTATATTTTAAGGATCCAGATGCAAATGCAAAATTGGTATTGCAGAACAGAGTCACACAGCTGGTGCCGCGGCTCACTTGGATAATCCTCTGCCAGCAGCACCGGCACCCCGGGTTCTAGTCCCGGTTGGGGTGCCGGATCCTGTCCCGGTTGCTCTTCTTCCAGTCAAGCTCTCTGCTGTGGCCCGGGAGTGCAGTGGAGGATGGCCCAAGTCCTTGGGCCCTCCACCCCATGGGAGACCAGGAAAAGCACCTGGCTCCTGCCTTCGGATCAGCGCAGCACGGCAGCTGTCGCAGCCATTTAGGGGGGTGAACCAACAGAAGGAAGACCTTTCTCTCTGTCTCTCTCTCTGACTGTCTACTCTGCCTGTCAAAAAAAAAAAGAACAGAGTCATAGAAAGAAGCAACTCCTGTTTAATGGACAAGCTCAAGAATAGCTTAAAGGTATTTTCAGAATCTCTTTTCCACCTAGTTAAAATTAAAAAAAAAAAAAACTCTCATGATCACATGACATCATTGGAAGCACGTGACCTTGTGTGCTGTTGTGGGGCAGCAGACTCCAGGAGGAGGGTTGGAGGCCCTGTAAAATGCTCTACTTCCCTGGGGTTTAGGTGAAGCATAATGGCCACCAGAGCATCTCTATTCATTTAATGGGACCATTTCTTTTAAGGAAATTGATTCTAAGAGACAGTCTCAACTGTTTCATGCCTTGTTCCTATTGGACATTTCTTCTCAGTGTGAAAATAAGGGACTTTTATTTCCTTGAAATCTAAATGACTCTGCTGGGGCCAGCACTGTGGCACATCAAGTTAAGTCACAGCATCCCATGAGGGTGCCAGTTCAAGTTCCAGCTGCTCCACTTCCGGTCCAGCTTCCTGCAAATGCACCAGGGAACGCAGTGGAAGATGGCCCAAGTGCCTGGGCCTCTGCACCCACACGGGAAACCAGGAAGAAGCTCCTGGATACTGCCTTCAGACTGGCCCAGCTCCAGCCATCGCAGCCTTTTGGGGAATGCACCAGCAGATGGAAGATTCTCTCTTTCTTGCTCTCTCTCACTCTCTCTCTCCTCACCCCACCCCTCTCTCTGTGAGTAACTCTACCTTTCAAATAAATAAAATAAATCATTTTTTAAAAAGGTGACTCTGCTAAACCAAGGTTGCAGTTATGGTGACCTGATCTGTGACTCACGAGTGGTTACTTGGAGATCAAGGAGCCTATTGCCACTGAAGCTCAGTAATAGGGAAGAGCCCGGACAGAGGAAGTGGCAATAGTTGGTTCCTCACATGGGACACAACGACATGTCAGTGGATACAACAGTGTCACACACAATGACAAGTTTGATTGGCCCAAGGGCACATGATACATTGATGTCCTAGAGAAAGTGATGGGAACAAATGGCATGAATTTCCAGATGCTTTTGGGATGGATGTGATGAAGACAGCCACATCTTCATTCTGAACTTTACCCACTATTGACTCTGTTCTCAGCAACTTAATTGCAGAACCTATCCTGCAACCTCAGTTTACTTCAGAGAATCCTTAGACACTCTTTTTCTTCTGACTCTGGACAGCTGTAATCCATGCAATGGCTGAGGAAAGCAGACAGGTGATTTTCTTCCTTCAATTTGTCCTCGTTTCTTACCTTGAGGCACAAATGTGATGGCCAGAATGGAGATTCCCATTAGGAACATGAGCAGCACCTGGCTTACGCGGCGGCCTATGTAATTCAGTGCCAAAAGAGCAACACAATTTGCCAGGATGTTGACTAGTCCAAACAGACACTGTATCAGGAAAATATTGTTCCCCAAGTGATGTATGTGCAGATTCAGGCCATAAAAGAGCATGGAGTTTGCAAATCTGCGGTGAACCAAGAAAGGTACATGTCATAAGGTTTAGAGCCCATGTCTCACGGATGAGGACAACATTGGTCCAGGCAGTCAGTGGTTGATATTAAGGCATAAAAGCATGGCTTATTTTAAAGAAAACACCTTTGCATGAACATGATTTTAAGACTACTGTAAACTATTGTATCACAAAAGAATTGTTTTTGAGTTTATTTTGTTGTTAGGTGGGGAGTGTAACTGTGGAGACTACCTGGTAGAACTCTCCACAGTTTCAGTATTTTTTCAATATTTTGAATTGGGCCCTGCTTACATATTCATAAATCTCCACTTGCAGCATATATTTTTATTATATTTAATGAAGTACGTAACATGATACTTTGACAGATGATGATAAAGCAACATGTATTGGATTCAGGATTTTTGCTAAGAAGATGCATTTTAGGTGCTCTTGTCACAAACACACACACAGGAATAACCATGTGAGATGTTGGACATGTTAGCTTGAGCAGTATCCGCTGGTTTACTTTATTGTTTGCAATTTTATCCTTATTAAAATGAAAACTAACAAGCAAAAAACCCAACTGATGTTAAAATCTATACCATGATTAAAATTATCATGCTCATTGCTTCTCGGCCTTTTGGCTAAGATCAAGTGTAAATTATCATGCTCGGTCTGCCACGATGACCCCAGTAGGGTGATGTGGAAAAGCAAAGCTCCTCACTGTATATTTTGACCACCTTCCAACATATGAATGATCTTCATAGCTTTCTCATCTCTTCTCTCCCAATCTGCCCCCACAAGCTGTCGCACCCTTTGAAATAACAAGTAACAGGCTCAATCTCTCTGTTTGATGCTCTTTGTGGGAATCCTACCTCACAAAGGACAAGAGCAAGATCTGTTTCAGCAGGATGGATGCGCGGAACAAGTCCCATGGAGAGGGCTTTGTCACTGCGGCTTCCAGCTCCTCCTTCATGGTGGATCTCACAACCTTCAGCAACAACAGCAACAACAAACTGCTCAGTTGTCACCATGTGACGTGCAACGTGGGAGCACCGGGCACCCACAGGGGATGAGATTAAGGACCTCTCTTGCTCTTGGTGGGAAATAAAGGCATTAAAGAAGCATTGACGAGTGTAAAAATGGTAAAAAGTTGAAGACGCCTCAGGGTAACTGTGCAATGATGCAGACATTTTGAACATTGGACTCAAAGGGGCTGCAGGACTGAAAATGCTGTGTGGGCTAGAGATTCAGATCTGGATAGGAAGTGAATGTGCAGTCACCTGGATTAGTGCCCAAAGCTCCATGCACAATAGATGAGCAGAGACCTGGCACCTGAGCTTGGTCCTCAGCTGGCTGCCATTTATAGAAAAACTATCTCAAAGAAAAGGAAATTTTCCCAAGAGTCTTTATTTTGTTCTTTCTCTTGGCTTCTTTGAGGAAAATCCTAGCAGGTTGTGCCTGAACAAATGAGATGCCTAGAATAAAGTCAGGGGCTCTGGCGTAGAAGTATCTCTACCTGACTTACTTACAACCTGGAGTAATACGTTGGCTCTGCTCTTACTAGGTCTACACCATGAGGAAGATAGAACACCTGAAAGCCTCAATTTCTTCATCATTCAAAATAGGAATAAGAAGAAACAGAAGAATCAGGAGTAAGAGGAGAAAGAAAATAACATCTGTCTTCCAAGGATTTCCTCTTCCACACACAAGGTCACAAATGTGCTTATCCAATGATATTTATCACACCCCAGGTACCTGGTAATTTATTAACTCTTCAAATACCATTAGTTTTATCATCATCCCACCTCTACAAATGAAAGAATATCATAAAGCCAGATGAAAAGAGTTCCACGATGAAGGGAATTCAGAGAAAGGATAAGTTAAAATAGATGTGGAATCTTACACTACCAAGAATGTCTTTAGGTAAGGTTTTTCTTTTTTCCATGAGTGTCTTTGTTCACAGCTCCAGCCTCAGTAGCATAATTTTGGGTTTACACTTTTGTTAGAGGGGAGTCATGGTGGTAATCTCGACATACAACACATAAGTCCTGACTGTAGGCCATTGGTACAGCTGATGTAAGAATGGGATCGAAGGCTGGGTGTTTGGCATATAGTTAAGGCACCACTTGAGATGTTCTCATCCCATAACGGTGCCTGGACTTCAGTCCAGACTCCTCCTCCAATTTCAGCTTCCTGCTAACTGTGCATTGGATCCCTGCCACCCACTTGAGAGACATGGACTGATTTCTGGGCTCCTGATTTTAGCTTGGCCCAACCCCAGCTGTTGTGGACATTTGGGGAGTGAACCACTAGAAGGAAGATATCTCTCAGTCCCTGTCTCTCACTCTATGTCTCTCTTTCAAATAAAATGAAAATAAATAATTTTTGTAAAGTGATCTAAAGATGACCTTAAACTTGGGACAGCAAAGGACATGTTGTTGCTATTATATAAGCTATCAAGTTTGTCATAAACTAGTGTAAAATTATTCACATCATGTAATTTGACAATTGCTGCTAAATTCGGAACCTGTTTGGTCATTGTTCCTCCTAGGTTGTTGGATATTAAACAGGTACCAGACCACCCTCTGATTTGCCTCCTGCAGTCATTTGGATTATTCTGACTGCAAATTTAATCATACACTTGCCCTGTAAACCTGTTGCCACCTTAACCTCTAAGATCCATTTCAGATGTAACTGTCTTCCAGCTGCATTAGCGCCTCCATCCACGTATTTCAGGTGTGTCTCACCCCCGTTCTTCACATCTCACCTCAGTTCACTTCACAGAGGATTTATCAAGCTCATTTATTTATGAAGACTGATTGACCTTCTTAAAAATGTATTTTCATTTTATTTGAAAGGCAGAGGGAGCTTCCATCTGCTAGTTTAATGCCCAAATGCCCGCAATAGCCAGGGCTGGGCCAGACCAGAGCCAGGAGACTGGAACTTAATCTGGATCTCCTACCTGGGTGGAGCCATAACCTACTGCCTCCATGGAACTTTATTGGAAGCAGACTGGCTGGAGCTTGAACACAGGTACTCCAAAAGAAGACGCAAGCATTCAATCAGGTGGCTGAACATCCGTGCCAAATGCTCCCCCCTGCCCAGTGACTCATCTTTCTTATTTTTAAGACTTAATTACTTGTTTCAAAGTGGAATTACAGAGAGGGAGAGGCAGAGGCAGAGAGACAGAGGGAGGTCTTCCATCAATCTGTTCACTCCCCAAATGGCTGCAACAGCCAGGGCTGAGCCAGGACAAAGCCAGGAGCCAGGAGCTTCTTCTGGGTCTCGTATGCACTTGGCCATCTTCCTCTGCTTTCTCAGGCACATTCACGGGGAGTTGCATCAGAAGTGGAGCAGCGGGGACTCAAACCTGCTGCAGGCGGCAGCTTAATCCACTATGCCACAGCGCCAGCCCCAGGGACTGACATTTCTGAACACAGAAACTGCTGACTTTTTTTTTACTCTCTCTGTCACCAAGTATATATGAAACAAGTTATGTGATGGAGGGAAGAAGGAAGGAAAACATTGAGAATGAGAGTAGAAAGAGGCAATGGAGGGTAGAATGTACTTAGAAGCCGAAATATCTGAAATTCCAGGACTAATGCAGGAATAAGACATATTCATCCGAAGAGCTTCAGGAAAGTCTTTGTTAATGACAGCAGAGATAGAAAGAGGACATTTATTTTTTTATTGCAATTATTTTTATATTCAGAAAAATGTATTAATGCAATTTAGTTTCAAACTCTGGATTTGATGAATATAATAGAAGTCTTAAATGCTATAACTAGTACTCAAACAGTATTTTTCACTTTATGTTTCTGTGTGGGAGCAAACTGTTGAAATCTTTACTGAATGTATGCTAAACTGATCTTCTGTATATAAAGAGAATCAAAAATGAATCTTGACATGAATGGAAGGGGAGACGGAGTGGATAAGGGGAGGGTTGCAGGTTGGAGGGTCGTTATGGGGGGGAAGTCATTGTAATCAATATTCTTTACTTTGCAAATTTATATTCATTAAATAAAAGTTAAAAAAAAGAAGTCTTAAGATGATTCAATAGAGAAAGTTGTGTGGATCTTGTACAGTTAACACATCACTCATAATCACAGAAGGTGTCATCATAGACTTGTTAGGGATCGAGTCTCAAACACACTTATGGCTTGACTGGCAAATGCCCCTTGCAATTAGGGGATGCACTAAGGAAGTATAAGGAGAATGTATCTCAGACTGGGTTGCTGTGGAGCACCAGTCTTTTGAGTGTCTTTTATGGTTGACACAGCCAGGGGAATAGAGTTGAAGACTGAAAACGGCTGGATAAGTCACGATGGATGGAAGCGCAAAATTGGAGAGAGCACAGGTGAAAAGAGAGCAGCAGAGTTTGGAATACATAGAGCTTAGAGACAAGTTGTTGATGTTCAATGTAATACTTTATCCCTTTTAGTATTTTTTGTTCTAGTACTATTGGTTGAACTCACTAATTAACACACAATTATTCTTAGGTGTTGAAATTTTAACTGAAAAATGATCCCTGTTAAATATAAGAGTGGGAATAAGAGAGGGAAGAGATGTACAATTTGGGACATGCTCAAGCTGACTTGCCCCAAATGGTAGAGTTAGAAACATACCAGGGAATTCCAATACAATGCCATCAAGGTGGCATGTACCAATGCCATCTCATTAATCTAAGTGATCAATTTCAGTTCAAAATTGATCACACTGATAGGTCTAAGAGTCAAAGGGATCACACAAACAAGTCTAGTGTCTGCTAATACTAACTGATAGAATCAAAAAGGGAGAGAACGATCCAACATGGGAAATGGGATACACAGCAGACTCATAGAATGGCAGATGTCCTAAATAGCACTCTGGCCTCAGAATCAGCCCTTAAGGCATTTGGATATGGCTGAAGATCCCATGAGAGTATTTCAGACATGGAAAGCCAAGACACTCTGGCAAAAAAAAAAGAGGACCTAAATGAAAGATCTCTGCGAGTGAGATCCCAGTGGAAAGAATGGGGCCATCAAAGAAGGAGGTACCTTTCCCTGAAGGGAGGAGAGAACTTCCACCTTGACTATGACCCTGTCGGAATAAGATTGAAGTCGATGAACTCAAAAGGCTTCCATAGCCTTGGCAACTCATGACTAGAGCCTAGGGAGATTACTGACGCCATAAACAAGAGTACCAAATTGTTAAGTCAACAACAGGAGTCACTGTGTACTTACTTCTCATATGGGATCTGTCCTTCATGTGTTGTCCAATGTGAAGTAATGCTACAACTAGTACTGAAACAGTATTTTACACTTTGTATTTCTGTGTGGGTGCAAACTAATGAAATCTTTACTTAATATATACTAAATCGATCTTCTGTATATAAAGATAATTGAAAATGAATCTTGATGTGAATGGAATGGGAGACGGAGTGGGAGATGGGAGGGGTGCGAGTGGGAGGGAAGTTATGGGGGGGGACCCATTGTAATCCATAAACTGTACTTTGGAAAATTATATTTACTAACTAAAAGTTAAAAAAAGAGAAGTTAAAGACCATAATTGCATTGGTTCTCAAAAATTGAGAACCAATGGAATATGCTGAACAAGGAGGAGAATGCTTTGTTAAATAAAAGATGAGGAAGATACTTCTCTGAAGGTGGAAGAGAGCACCTGTCAGGGGATGATTGGAAGGAAACTGCACCGAACAGAAGTTGCTTGAAGAACAGTGAAGCTGGGGGCAAAGGGCTGCAGGCACTTTCTTCCTAATGTTCAGGTTTCCAGGAAGAAATTCTGAAAGATCAGCACTCTTAGCTGGCTCCACTCACCCCCAGGTGCACCTGCAGGACCACAGTGCTTGGTGAGTGGGAGAGGATGCCAAGGGCATGCTGCAGTGTCCAGAATGCCTTCAGAAAAAGCAGCACTCAGGTCTACCCTGTGGGCTACATCCTATAGCAAGTAGGGCAGGCTCTGTGGCTGGGGGGAAACCTGTGAGGTGAGTAAGTCCAGTCATGAAGTGTTAGCAAATCCATCGATGCTAAGTATTTAATGGTGTGACCTCAATTCCAGGTTTCATCGCACTAGAAATAATCAAAATTGGGTGTCACTCCTTCTGAGCAGTTGGTCCATCCCTCAGCTATGAGAGATTCTGGCATAGGAAGTGTATGTGACGCTCCCTAAGACCATGGCAATCAGCACAGTGTGTCAGCTTTAGGACATCTAGAGCAGATGTCCAGCAGTCCAGGAGATGGTCATTAGAACAGGAATAAGCCCACACATTTCTGAATTGTCTTTACAAGATTGTTTTAAAACCATCAAATTCAGGCACACTGGATGCCTGCTCAAGCACAGACTCCATGTTCTAAACCAAATTTCCTCTGCATTTCCTGTGCAGTGTCAGTGTTCTCTTTCTTCCTCTGGGCAGTGAGGGGACTGTCAGTTACCATTCACCCTTAATAATACATTGTTGTTTTCTTGACTCCAGTCTGCCACACTTAATGTTGCTGTCTGCCTGGTCCCTGAATGAGTTCAGCCTTCATTCTCTAGAGTAAGCCAAACGCAGGATGGGGCTCAGAATGAAAGATCATTCCTGAGAACTTAATTGATGCAAAAGATTTTCATATAAATTATGCAGACATTAACACTACCTAGTCGTTCCATAGAGCTCAACCTTAATTTCAAGTTCATTTCTTTTTTCCAAAAAAGCCTGTGGCAATGCTCCCTGATCAACCCAGGGTCCCTCAGTGCCACTGTCTCTGTGCAATGGCTCTGTCGCTGGGAAACCTTCATTTCTTTCTTCCTGCCATCTTCAGTGGAATCTAAATTCTCAGGAGCACTTTGTTCCTTCTTATTTGAAATCTTCTAGAGTCCCTGCCTTCTTCTGAAAGCTTAAGAACTCCCATCAGATTTGCCATTGAGAAGATTTGTAAAAATACATATTTTACTCCTCCTCTACTGTGATCCAGTCCTCTCTTATTCCACTTAATTGGTGATAGATTGTCTGCATTGCCCTCCCTGCCCCCTATTTCCTTACCATTAGAAACAAACAAAAAATCACATGAACATAGAGCTAGCATAAAATCCAGCAACCCCACTACTGGAGAAGTAGCCAAAAAAATTGAAAACAGGATCTCTAAGAGATATTTACATACTCATGCTTATTGCAACACTGTTCACAATAGCCATAAGTTGGAAAAAATTGTAAATGTCCATTGAGTGGTAAAGTAAATGTGGTATAAACATACAATAGGCTATTAATCAGACAGAAAAAGAAAAAACCCTTGCCCTGTGTTACGACATGGGTGAACTTTGAGGATATTATGTTAAGTGAAATAAGCTGTCACAGAAGTACTAATAGTGCTCCGTTTCCTTTATATTAAGGCCTCTGAAAGAGGGAAACTCAGAGAACCACGGAGTGTGATGGTGACTGCAGGGAACTAGAGGAAGGAGCCAATGGGAAACAGTTGTTCAATGATTAGAGTTTCAGTGATGTGGGGTCAGACACACTCCAGAGATCTCCTGTGCTGGACTGTGCCTATATTGAACAATATGGTATTGTACACTTAAAAGCTTGTTACAGGCGACGCCACAGCTCACTTTGCTAATCCTCCACCTGCAGCACTGGCACCCCGGGCTCTAGTCTCGCTTGGGGCGCCAGCTTCTGTCCCGGTTGCTCCTCTTCCAGTCCAGCTCTCTGCTGTGGCCTGGGAAGGCAGTGGAGGATGACCCAAGTGCTTGGGCCCTGCACCCACATGGGAGACCAGGAGAAGCACCTGGTTCCTGGCTTCGGATCGGCGCAGTGCGCCGGCCGTAGCAGCCATTTGGGCGTGAACCAACAGAAGGAAGACTTTTCTCTCTGTCTCTCTCCCTCTGACACTATCTAACTCTGCCTGTCAAAAAAAAAAAAAAAGAAAGAAAGAAAACAAAAGCTTGTTACAAGACAAAATATAATTTTAACTAATTTTGATCATAAAAAAAGGTTATTTAAAAATCTATTCATTGTATTCTCTCCTCTTACTATGAAAGTTCCTTGAAACCTGGAACTCTGATTTATACTGTTATTCATGATAAAGCACCCCGCCTAACACAATGTAAATTTTCAGTGCATAGTTTGTATATGTGTGCTACATGATAACTGGGCTTTAATAAGACCCATAGTAATTTTTGCTTCCCATACTAGGGATGGAAAATAGAAGACTTATCTGAGGTATTTCCACTCAGCCATGCCTTTGAAACATGTAAGAAGTATAATGGAAACACCACAGAACACAGATTTGAGCTGTCGTGGCTGCTGCCACATTGCCAGCGTGGAGCAGAACCTGGCCCAGCCACACACTCAGCAAATACCCACTGAGTGACACGCGGTGTGACTAGCCAGACGAATCAGTCATGCTCCATTCTCCTCATGCTCCATTCTGCAGGATCACCAACCCTCCGAAGTGCCCCACTGCCCTGAAAGAAGGCCCAAGGGATATTAAACAGGAAAGCATGGGTTTGTTTCTGTTATTTTTCCTAAGGTAGAATGAGATCAATGCACAATCCCTACAATTACTGATAATAAGTGCTTCCTACCTCTGTTGAATAGAAAATCCGCACCTAATCATTTCAACAATTGTCTATCCGACAGTGAAACAACGAATGCTGACACCCTCTAGATCCAGGACAGTGAAGTGAGATAGATCCATATCAGACCTGTGCTTCCACCCTTTACTCAACTGATGGACGCTGACCAGTGCAGACATCACATTATGCTTTTCCTGCATCCCGTAACCAGCTGCCTTCCCTATTCACCTCCATAGTTAGGGTGTCTCCCACGTTCTTCACTCCATTCTTGTGTGCAGCTTTCTTGAGTTCCTTCAGGGCCTCCTGGGATTTGTTGGCAACAATCAGCCACCGAGCAGACTCTGCAAGCCACCTGATCAAAGAAGAGAAACACACAGCCAATTTGCATTTGCTTATTTTCACCTGACCTTTAACCCGAGATGCCTTTCCTCTCCTATCTACTACCCATTACTTGTTCATGCAGGAAATGCAATCTTGCAATTTCTTGCACAATTACTAGGAAAATATGAGGATGATCTCACCATGGGGTATGCCTTCATTGCAGGGAACACAGACCAGGAGTCACATTGCTCCTCTCTTATTCAGGAAGACTGCTGGTTCCAGCAAACAAAAAATGTGGCGTGCCTTTTTAAATTTTAATACAGGTGTACAATGAATAATTCTTTAATGTGTCTCATGCAATATTTTGGCTTCATTTCTACCAAACTTGTTTCCATTCAAAATCTGAATTTGATGGGACATAGTATATTTTATGCAATAAGCAAAAAAAAAATAGAACTCCCCAATAAATAGAAGTTTGACATACAAAACGAAGGACAGTCAATGTATCCAGGGCTTGTGCAATATGGGGATTATTACACAGGACATATTTGTTGTTGGGGCAGGTGTTTGGCCTAGCCACCAAGATGCTGGTTGTGACACTGGAGTGCCCGGCTCGGACTCTGTGTCCAGCTTCCTGTTAAGGAACATCCTGAGAGGCCGCAGGTGATGTCGCAAGTAGTTTGCCCCCCAACACTCACATTGTAGATCTGGAATGATTTCCTGACTCTTGGGTCCTGGATCCAACCATATGCAGCCCTGGTTGTTGTGGAATTTGGGGATTGAATTAATGGCTGGGAGGCCCCCCAATTTTCAAGTAAAAAAAAAAAATTTCTTAGGCCAGCGCCACGGCTCACTAGGCTAATCCTCCGCCTGCGGCACCGGCACACCAGGTTCTAGTCCTGGTCGGGGCGCTGGATTCTGTCCTGGTTGCTCCTCTTCCAGGCCAGCTCTCTGCTGTGGCCCGGGACTGCAGTGGAGGATGGCCCAAGTGCTTGGGCCCTGCACCTGCATGGGAGACCAGGAGAAGCACTTGGCTCCTGCCATCGGATCAGCGCGGTGCGCCAACTGTGGCGGCCATTGGAGGGTGAACCAACGGCAAAGGAAGACCTTTCTCTCTGTCTCTCTCTCTCTCACTGTCTACTCTGCCTGTCAAAAAAAATATATTTCTTATTGATTTGAAATTCTAATTTAATTTTGTGGTCTTGATGTTATCTGACAATCTTATTTTGCTGCTACACAGATGAGTAGAGCAAGTGTTTGATAAAGCCTTGCCCAAATACCCAGTAGAGCCCATGTTTCCTGATGTTGTGTGCCTTGCATCTCAAGGACCTTTAAGACAGAGGAAGAGAGAAAGTTTATACCTTGAGGACAGACAAAAGACAAAAAATGGCACAGAAATCACCAGCTGGAGTACGTGCCATTCACGAATAGCAAAAGCTAGGCCTGCCAGGATTATCTGTCCAATACAGCCACTAGAACTCATAAGTGTCATTCCCATGGCTTGGAACCGGGGCAATGTCCACTCTATAACTGGAAGAGAACACAAACAGGAGGATTTTGACTTCAAACAAAGGTTCAGTTGCAAGGCTTTGAAAAATGCCCAAGATTCAAAGTGTTCATTTACTGAGCATAGAAACATTTGCCATGATGGTCCCAGTAGACATTCCAGCCAGGAAGCGCAGTAAGCAGTAAACGAGGAAGGTAGGAGCAAAAGCTGCACAGGTGTCAGCGATGGCCAGCTGGAGGATACACCATCTGAGTATTAACTTCCTCCCAAACCTGAGAAATGGGGACAGAGTAGAGAATGGGAATAATGACAGCTTGTAAAAATGATCAAAAACAAAGCACATTCTTTTTAATTTAAGGGATTTTTTAACAGTAAAACTTTTTACTTAAAATGTTCAAGCATCCATCCACAATTAATCAACAGTAGACCTTAAAATGTTCAAGCATCCATCCACAATTAATCAATAGTAGACCTCAAAAGTAACCATCTAGTATGTAAATAACTACTCCATGTATTAAAGATTCTTTTCCAATCTCTCACCAGTAGATCTTCGACCCCAGTTGAAGCCATGTAAAATGAGTTGCAATTTAGAAACATTTAACCTATCACAAATGTCCTTTGTGTTAATATTATGTATTTAGCGTAGTAGAAAGCCTGTGTAGTATCTAGAATCCAAGGGTACTGGTGTTCTCCCATATTCATATGTTGAACCCTAACTACCAATGAAATGATGCTTGGAGATGGGTTCTTTGCCAGATAATTAGGACACAGGGTGTCCTTCATGTGGAATTAGCGCCTATATAGGAAGAGACTCCAGAGAGCTCGCTTGCACTCCATTACTCATCTCCTTGTGAAGACACAGGGAGAAGGCAACCTGCTACAAGCCAAAAAGAGAGCTCCCAGCGAGAATCGAATTGGCCAGGACTTTGATCCTGAACTCCACTGCCTTCCCAGCTACAAGGAAGTCAATTTCTGTTGTGTAAGCTGCCCAGTATGGTAGTTTGTTGTGGCATCCTTGGTTAATTAATGCAGAATCTAAATCTGCACTTGGGACTCTTGCATCATGCAGGCCATGACTAAACTTCTGTGAAAAAAATATCCTTGGAGCAGTACACCAGTCACTGGTGGGTTTCACAAGAACCTCTCTCTGCTGAGTCACAGGTTGTAGGCTTTGGGTAATGTGTTTCCTCCAGATCAACATGCACAGGGTCCATTGCCCAGACAGGTAAGTTTAAAGATAGTTTGAAGAAGAAAGGATTAGGTAAGATGGGTATGGGAGGGGAAAAAAAGAAAACAGAAAAAAGGGGGAAATTTTTTTAAAAGGGAGGGACAAATTCTCTCTTTCAAGGATCTCTGGGACAGCGAGGTTTCATGCAGATGACTTGGACAAAAGGGCCTGTGTTGATTCTAGTGTGACTCGTAATCATCATGATGGGCAAACATTGAGGTGGGGCATTCGCTCTCCTATCTTTTCTGCTGTCTGAGCACTTTCGCATAATAGGGCTATGAAATCTTTCTGTTCTGAGCATTTATACAACACATGCCTCGTTTGAAAATTTGTGTTTCAGTTAAGTATAGAGTAAGAATCTATGTAAAGAAGGGCTTTGATTAGTGAAATGATGAGGTGGCAATGATTGGAAGTCAGGACAGCCATAATAAAAAGCAGCAATATATAAAGATTTACCATGTATGAGAAAAGGCCACATAAAAATTATTTCATCCAGTGATATTCATAGTGGTAAGCCTTTGATGGCATATGATTATCCATCCCTAAAATGGTATTAGAGACATTGTTGTTGATCTCCACTGTGAACCATTATGCAAACAATAGAAAAATGTCCTAAAAGTATATACAACAATGTGTATGTGGCTCAAAACCATGGTGGTGAACGTATAAAAGAAAAATATTGAGATAATACATTTGCATAATACGTAAACTAAGATATATACAAACCAAACAATGTCATTCATTCTAAAAACATATATATTAACTCAACAATGTGTAGGAGGACATTTTTAAGGTTCATAGAAAGATGGAATTCAAACATAAGATTAACTGTGGTGCAAAATAATTTTAAATGCATGCACAGTTTTTTTCATAGTGTACATTTCCCTTGGCATTTTTTGAAGACTCCTCTTTGTTAATACATTATGATGATCCCTGTATTGGAAGGTAGGAAAGAATATCAGGAAGTGAAGGAAAATGGAAGCAGATATATATATGCATTCACAAAGGGATTTCACATCCACATTATTTAGGACACTAACTCATGAAATGAGGAGTATAGTCATCGAATTGTCTGTGCTTTATAGCCAAAAGAAGATAAATCTTTGTTGTACAAAACGTAAGGGTTTTTGAAGCCAAGATAGTCGAGCATCAGTGCCCTACACTCACTTTCTCCTACACAAAGAAGAACAAAGTGACAGGTAGAGAGCTGTGTTTTGAGGTGAGTATCCAAACCCAGCAAAGGAGATACTGGAGCACAACAAATATGGAAACCTGGGGTGCCTGCATAGAAAGAGGAGGAAATCCCTAGCCCAGGGGACTCCTTGATGCAGGTGACAGGATGACAGGCAAATCCCAACAGAGCCCATCAAAACAGCAAACCTAGCTAAAAGAGTCCTGCAGTAGTCATGGGCCTGCAGCTGTGTTGTCAGAGCTACCTGGAATCAGCACAATTGCTTTACTTTGGAGAGTCGCACTGTCTCCTCCAAATTTCAGAGCCAGGCTGCAGTTGATGGGTGCTCTCCTGAGAAAGGAGGTCTTATCTACCTCTCTATTGTCCTGGGGGCCAGAAGCTTCTGTCTGTCCTGGCCTCAACCCCCAGGCATCCTCCCATATTAGCTGATGAGGTTACAGACCCTGGATCCACAGCAGACTGCCTGTGACTCCAACACCCAAACCAGAACAGGGTCCTGCACTGCAGGGGTTAGGAGGCTTGGCTTGGGAAGAAAGTACTACTCTGGGGATGCAGGGTCAAGGGCATTTGTCCTCTGAGACCAAAGGCCTGCTCCCTTCCAGGTAACATCATTGTCTCTCACGTATGGCTCCCTGTGAGATGAAATCTCTGCTGGAAATAAGAGCAAGCTCTGCAGTACCTGACCCTCTGCACAACAAGCCACAAATGGGTCCATATGCTAGGGACATTCAGAGCACTAGTGCCCTCACCCACCTCTTTCTCCTGACCAGCTCTTTCCAAGAACTAAGAGCAAGTACCCAAAGAGAGATATGCAATCTCCCCTACCCCCTTATCACTTGGCTGGAAAATCTCTGCAACCTCTGTTGGAGACTGAAAGTAGGCACCCTGAGAGACTGAGAGTGGGTGGAAAGAGAGTACTGCCAACAATGCTTTTGGGTCTGTACCATCACTGGGACTGAGAATGTGAGAGTGTTCCTTATGGTTTCTCCATCCCCCCCAAAACTGCTTCTGTGCCCACCTTGCCCCTGGAATTGAGGATGGGTGCTACCCACTTGGGCTACTAGTCTAGATGAACCCCTCTGATTGAAGAGCATACCCCAGAGGTTCCAGGATTAATATCTACCTGACCCATGTGCTTCCACTTCCACTACTGAGATGACCCCACAGTGGACACTCCTCTCCCCACTTCTGTGTGTACCACACAAGTCTGGGTCACTACAGGACCTACAGCTTTGTGTGACCCCCAGTGACATCATGTCACTATGATACTACCACAACAGGTACCACTTACAGCTGACAAAAGTACAGAAAAGATACACTAGAGTGTACAAGAAGAACCAAAGCTAATATTGCCTTTCAAACTGACACCTCGGAGTCACATCTTCAACGGAATATAAATCACCATGAATGCTACTCTATAAAAATGTGGAGATAACTGCTTCACTAGATGCACAAATCTTAACATAGGGTCACAAGTAAAATGAAAAAACAAGGGAACATGATGCCTCCAAAGGAATATAGTAACTTTCTGGCAACAATATCCAAAGAAAAAATAGATTGATAAGATGCCTGGTAAAGAATCCAAAAGAATGTTTATAAGGGATGCCCAAAGAAATGCAAGAGAATGCAGACAACAAAATAAGATAAACAATACGTTATATGAATAAGAAATTCAGCAAGGTGATAGAGATCTTGAAGAGGAACCAAACAAAATGCTTGGAAGTAAAGAACTCAATAAGTCGAGTAAAAATTATAGTTGAAAGCCTCAACAATGGATTTGATTGGTCAGCAGAAAGACTATCTGAACTTGAAGACAGGTCGCTTAAAATATCCCAGTCAGACAAAAAGAAAAGGAAAAAAAGAATGAATACAGCAGCTGAGGCATTTGGGATCTCATTAAATGAACAAATATTTAAATTGTGGAAATCTCCAAGAAAGAAGGAGAAGTGATTGCATAGAAAATCTATGAAATGAAATGAAAGCTGAAAACTTTCCCAATCCAGAGAAAGATATGGACATCCAAGTAAAGGAACCCTAGAAGACCCCAGATAGACATGACCAGCAAAGATATTCATCACCACGTATCATAGTCAAACTCGTAAATGTACAACACTAGGAGCAAATCGTAAAATCTGCAAAAGTGTCAAGTCACCAAATTCCATCAGAATAACAGCAGATTTTCAATAGAAATCTTCCAAGCTGGTAGAGAATGGAGTAATATACTTCAAGTACTAAAAGAAAATAACTGCCAACTCAGAATAATTTGCTCACAACCGTTTCTTTCATAAAAACAGGAAAAGTAAGGATTTTCCGAGGCAAACAAAAATTGAAGGAATTCATCTCCAATAGATCAGATCGACAAATGATGCTTAAGGGATCCCTACAGACAGAAACAAAGAAAGGTAACTACCATGAGGAAAACATGGAAGAATAAAATCCACTGCAGAAAGACAAAAGGATGTCCAAGAAAAATAGAAGCAAATTTTAAACTTGTCAAGTCTAAGTCACTGCTTAACAACAATAACTTTAAATGGCAATGGACATGCACAAACAATATTCTCCCTACAAGAAACTCACTTCGGTAAAGACACAAATTCTAAAAGTGAAAGGATAGTCTTCTTTATAGTTTTAACAATAATGGTACGTATTCGGGGGCTACAGTGCAACACTTCAATGCAGTTAAACATTCCCCCTTCTTTGACATGGCCTTATGATCGGAGCCTTGGAGCTGCTGTCTTCTGTTTGCTCAGGAAAGTATATAACAGGTTTTTGTGAAGTATAGTCGCCACAATAGGTTGTGTAACACTAGCAAGTTACTCTGTCCATCAAACTCTGACATGGTACCTGTACAT